CAGTAACATCTAGGGAATGATTCCAAATACAGTAATACTATGAGATAGCTGAAGATAGAACATCACAAACCTAAAACTGATTATATGGTGACTTTAAAATGATTATGCGAGTGAGCTGAATGTCCATGGTTAATTTTTATTTTTTGTGATGCATATTTCCAAGCTTGATAACTTACTTAATATATGAGTTAGGGAGGATCAGTTATAGGCTGTATTGTAGAGCGCCTTTTACTACATCTTTCTATCATAGAGACAAATTTTTAAAGATCTGTTTTAAGATAAAAGAATGAATTATACAAATCGAGTCAGGACTTCTGGACCACCCTTTATATATATATATGCAGCCCATTTGACTGACTTATTATTTCAAATTTCTTCGACATATACAAATAAATCCCATTTTTGTGACATTCAACGAACAAAAAATAATACTCTTTTGAAGACAAAAAAAATTTTTTCAACAAAAAATGATGCTGTTTTATAAAGATATATTTATTAAATAATTATATCATACACAAATATAGAAGAGTATAAATTACATACATAATGTACAAGAAACTATTGAGTAGCTCTCTCTAGAATTTCAGTTAAAAGGATGGGAAATGTAAGATGTATAATTTTCTGTGGTATATCATTGCATGCATTATCTATTGCTGCATTTAATTGTGCTGCTACGTATGATTTTATGCAAGACCAGATATATTCTATAGCATTAAATTCAGGAGAATACGCAGGAATGTTTAGAAGTTGAATGTCATTATCTTTAAGCCATGTAAGAATTGGTTCGGATTTGTGATATGAAATATTATCTTGGTAGAATTTGTATCTTCTTAATTTTGAAGTATGTGGTCCAGCATGAGTAGATAGAAAATAATGATAAGTAGCTGAATTCATATATCCGTCATGCCTACTAAATGCTTTAAAATTTCATCCAATAACACCTCATAATTGTGCATGTACCTTGGTATTATCGACGATATATGTAGGTCTTGGTTCACCAGGCTTACACCATGCGATAGTACCGACATCGTTCATTGTAAATATCTTTTCATCGCAAAATAACCAACGTTTTATATTATCATTGACATGTAATTGTGCAAAAGTGGTTTTGGTCTATTCTTGTGTCGATATGAGTGTTTTTGTGCACTCAAAAAGTGAGTACACTTTAGAATCGGTCAGTATATCCGTCCGACCGTCAACACGATAACTTTTGAAAGGAGAGTCTAATCGCGATGAAATTTTCTACACAGTTCAGTCTTAGCAATGTCTCGGTCGAGTTCGAAGATGAGAATGATTGGCTGAACCATTGCTGAGTTATTGCAAAAATAGTCGTTTTTCCCTATGAGAAGATAGACCCTTCTCTGTTTTCATAAAAAACTTTTCCTATCATAGTCAGATAAAACCACAACTATTATATACCATTCGATAGAGAATTTCACGAGCTACAAAATGGTATATGAAACATAAAGAAACAAGAAAGCTAACTCGCCTATTGCAAAGATAATTAATCGGAATTCGGTTCTGTTTTTGTCCACGCTCTATATGATCCACAATTAGAGTTCTATCTTCCCATCACAGAGATGATAGTTCGAGGTTTTCTAGAATGGAGAACTCGAATCTATGTTCCATTCACCTCGAAATCCCATTGGTTGAGCAGTGACCAATAGAAATCAAGTTATAGGAAAAACGAGTTTCTTAGGGTAAATCAAGGTGAAGAGTTCAAATCTGAGCTGTATTTGCCTCCAAATCGTATTGGCTGAGCAATAGCCAATAGAAATTAAGTGTTTACAGAAAGGGTTTGCCAGGACAATTTTGATGTTCACACATTCTAAGGTGACTCACCTGTCTCATTCACTTTTTGAAGTACACATAACTCTCGGATTTGAATCCGATGTTTCCACATTTTTTTTGATGATAAGGACGGTATCCTAATTTACGACGATAACGCTGGATAGCTCTAGCGCTAACATATTTACCGATTTTTTCGAATATTTCATTTGCAAGTGTTTTTGCAGTAGCTGTTCATTTTCTTTTGATTATTTTACTCGATTTTTGTTTTTCGACAGCTGAGAGAGAACGAGGACGACCAGATGATACTCCTTCAGTTATTTCTCCCGTGTTGTAGTAACGAGACAATATGTATCGTACAGACCAGTCGAGCAGTGATGTCTTGCTGCAATTGTTGCTAGCGTCTTTCTGTCTCTTTTTCTTTCCATTATTATTTGAGTTCGTTCAATATCGTCAAAATGAGCCATTTCAGTTGTTACATATTATTCGTTGATTATTTCATATATATATATGATGCCCTACTTATCTTTCATTTTTTTCTTTGTTCTTTATGTTCCATATGTTCTTTTTTGTCTCGCCCAATTGTCTGGATAGATGTTCTCTTCTGTCTCGTCCGAACTGTCATCTTTTCTTGACCTATTTTCATATCTTATTATAGTTTAAATTATTATTTTTTGTCCGTTGAATGTCACGAAAATAGGATTTTTTTGTATATATCGAAGAAATTTAAAAATAATAAGCCAGTCAAATGGACTGCATATATATATATATATATATATATATATATGTGTGTGTGTGTGTACTTTACTCTTTGCGCTATCCATGAATATATATGAATGAAGACATAATAATAAAAAACAGAGGAGAATGAGCTAATAGAAAAAGGCATTTTTTTTGTCCGAGGGGGAATGAATGTTTCAATTCATTTTTCATTTTGAATATTCCAATAATACTTTTTTTATATTTGATTGAACATTCTTTTTATTTAATGTTAAATCACATTGGATATTAACTTTTTTTGATAACCATAGTTTTGTCTATAATACAAGGAAATAAATATTTATGTTCCAATGTGAGATAACGATTCACTACAAACTTTGATCTAGAGTGGTCATTCTTTAAACCTTAAAGAGTAAAATATCAAAATTAATTTTATTTATTCGTCGGATATTTTCATTGTCACATTAGAATTATATAAATTCATTTGAAATATGAGCATCTGAAGTTCTGATAAAATATGCAGAGAAATTTGCAGAATAAAATAAATAATTATGTAAACAAGATTTAAATAGTACAAATGTGTTTTCATTCCTAGACTTTGTGGTTTTCAGTCATTATCATTCTTCCTGAAAATACATCGCAGTATTGAATGAAGTTTAACGAATAGGATGTTAATTGAATGTCATGATGGAAATACTATCATTGATACATTAGAATCGTATGACATTGAAATTAAATGTTAGAAAGATTTTCAAGCAGTATGGTCGAGTCTAGTTTTTGCAATTATCTATATTCATAATTAGGGTGTAGGTATGGCTAAAGAAAAGACAAACACTCACAAACAGCTAATTAAATCTCAATAAATAGAAATAATGAACTCAACATTTAGCGAACTCTATAAATCACAATTAGTTAAAAGTAAAACTGAAGGTACAAATTATATTAAAATTGTTAATAGTAAATTTTAAAAAATTTCAAAAACAAAAATTTGAAATTTAAGATTGTTTTCTATTTAGATAATTAGAAAATGAAAACAACCAAGGAGATTGAATTAATAGGTAGTGAAATTCGATTTCATGTTCGAAAATGAGAAGACACGCAATTGAACTCATGGCGTACTTAAAATGTCTATATTTTCGATTGAAGTTACCCAATATCGTGTATCATCGAGAAATACTATGTTGGAAATAATAATTCAAGTTTATTGCGCATAAAGTGATACAAGGTGACATGTTTTTATCCTATTCCTTCGAGTTGACAACGAATGATTCATCAACCTGCACATATGTCTCGCATAGGTGAAATTACACCATTTCATCAGCTCCGTTCTTTGCATTGATTAAAAGTCGAGCAGAAATCATCATTCGAATCATTTTTGCGCTAGAAATGATTGCACACCCAAGAAGCTACTCATCGGTAGTAAAGGAAGATCCTTCAAGTGTTCAAATACAACTCTTCAAGCTTATTAGACATGGCAAGTCGAGTGAACTCAATGAATATTTACATGACAGACGGTATGCGTGCAAATTACTCAGTGGATTATATTTGAATCCGTCAAACAACGAGTGTTTCAGTTTGTTGGTAATAGCCGCTCTAAATGAACATAATAGGATAGTACGTGAGATAATTTCACGTTCTCCTGACAAAGCAAAAACAGTTGAACTTGAAGGCCGTGTGCACAGCGTTAGCGGAAATCTAGTAGACAAAGTAACCGCATTATGGTGCGCTCTTGATCGAGCTCATTTTTTCGTGGCACATACTCTGATTAATCTAGGTAAAGCTGACGTTAATCACGGTCCACTTCATCCATTATTGATTGATGCTACTATTAGAGGACGATTGGATATCGTTGAATTCTTGGTCGAAAATGATTATGTTGATATCAATCAGACAAAGACAAATGATGAAAATAAATCTAGTAGTCTTATTGTAGCTGCCAATCATGGTCATACACAAATCGTCAACTATCTCATTGAGAAAAATGCTGAACTCGAGTCAAAGACATATATCGATGAAAACACAGCATTAGCTGTTGCAGCAATCAAAGGCCATTTGGAATCTGTACGGCTATTGTATAAGTCAGGTGCTTCTTCCAATGTGGAAAATCATGAGAAAAAAACACGAATAGTTTTAGCGGCTGAAAATAATCAACTAGATGTAGTTAATTTTTTACTTGAGCATAATCATGATCGTACAACTCTTGACGATCTTGAACTTGCTGTTGCTTCACATATACTCTCACATAAGACTACTGAAGATTACAAACCTGAATGGATAATACAAATATTGCAACATTCATTCATCAAACGAACACAACTCAATATAACCAAAATCGTTGCTGAACCAATTACTGTCTACGATTTCCAACAAGAATGTCAATCAATCGATGAACTCGATCGAATCCAACACAATAAAGATCGTCTGTATATCGAAGCATTACTTATTCAAGAACGTATTCTTCTACCTCGAAAAGATGAGAGACTATTCACGCCATTATTCGAGCGAGCAACTGCATTTATTGAAAAAGGTGAATTCGATAGTTGTCTCGATTTGACATTACATATCTTTCATCTATGTCAAGAATTTGAAGTTCATAATTGTCGTCAACAATTCTTCTGGATCTTCTACACTATGTTTAATTCAAAAATGCCTATTCCTGTTGATCGATTTTGGGATATATGTGATCTCATCTTCAAGCCATCACAACAGAATTCGATTGATTGTCACAAAAGAGATGCAAGATATCTATTGGCAACTGCAGGAAAAGTATGATATAGTTTTTCAGGAGAAACGGAATTACTAGAAGATGAACCATTTAAGATCCATTCTAAAAATTTTTGTTAATTTTCATTTCACAAAAGCATTGAATAGAGAGAACATCTTTAATATTCGGTAGACAGGAAAGCTTTGAAGACTTGTAATGTCGACAAAACTCAGACAAGGATAGCGAGAAAGAATTTTTATTTGTGTGCCTACTTTGAGTTAAAACGTCGATCTTCTTTTTACCATCACCCATGCTTTTTTTTGCATTGCATAAAATTTTGCCAGTGATTAAATAGAAATTGTTTTTACGCATTGTTTCTTTTGATTCTTCCACACTGAAAAGGACCGATCAGTAATAAACAAATGGTGTCTTTCTGTCCACTATCGATTAACTTTTGTCCTACCTTTGAAAAATAAACAAAAATTAGCATATAGTTAATAAGGTTATTGTATTGTCAATACTATTTTGAAAATGCATCATACTCTAGAAAACAACGCACATCGATGTAAATGAAGGCCATTGTCAAAAAAAATAAATAAATAAACATTCAATTAGTACATTCTTAGCTGTAACCGAATACGAGGAGTTGTGAACTCTCGAAACTGCGAGTTCACTCGTGGAACTTTCGCAACTCCAGAATATCAGTTTTACTTGAAACGCTATGGTTGATCTGTTACCTAAATTTCAATAATTTCTTGAATTTCATGAGTTCAGAATTCGCAGAATCCGAATTTTATAAAATTAATCTTTGCTTTAGAAAACTTCTAAGATATAGACTTGTAACAAATCTATAAATGTCGATATTCTTTTTGTTCTTCTTTAAGATGGATCATTCCGAAATTCCATTGATTTTACGCGAACTCAATTTAAATGAAGATTGTGTTGCCAATATTTACAATCATGGCTCATACGCTCAGGGTACATGTACTCCTGAATCTGATCGAGATCTGATAATTGTTACTCGTTCATGTCAAAATTATCTATGGTTTCAGAACGATTTTGCTTATTTTCATAGATTCGAATTACATAAATTATTCAATAAATATGATGTTTGTGTATATTCAGTAGAAAATTTCCAATTAGCATTAGAAAAAAATTATTTACTCTGTGTTCAATGCCTATTTTTATCAGATGAATTTAAAATTAAAGAAGAAATTGACTTTCGAACAACTTATCTAGAAAAATATTATAATACAGTACGAATAAAACAAGTAGCTTTTTATGAAATGTTATCATCTTTTAACTTACTTGATCCACCTAAGAATCCAACTTATCGAAAACGTAGTTCAACTGAAAATGAAACAAATCAACCGTTATCAGATTTTATATTTAAAAATTTATTTCATGGCATCCGATTCTTAGATATTGGTGAACAATTAATTCAAACACGATCAGTACATGATTTTACACGTGTGTCATATATACTTAATGAGATGAAGGATATACGTGGTGATCCAACAGACGAATCAAGTAAACATCGGTAAGCAATCATTATCAAATTTTCATCTTGAAAATGAATCATTTTATTTTTAAATTTTAGTGTAGTTGAATATGTTCATAAAAAAAGTATTGAGTTCAAATCAAAATTAGATATACTTGTACCAACAAATATTATAAAAGGTACATTCAAAGTACATATTACATTCGATTGTAAACCTAATTCTGAACAAGTCATTGAAAAATTGAAAAAAACATGTGAAAAAACGAAATATAAAATTGCATTCATTCAATTATGTGCTGATAAAAAAAAGAACAATCTTCAACAATTAATAGCATTTTCATATTATCATGGTGAATATCCATCGATTGTACAAGAAATTGAAAAAGAAATTCATGAACAATTTAAAGATTTTAATATTCTACGTATTCAAATAAAATCATTAGCATCAAATGAAGGTATACCACAAACTGATATTGATAAAGAATTATTCTGGAATGAAAAAACATATTATTTCGAATTTCATTATCGAATTGTTTTGAAACATGAACTTGATGGAAATTTTTTAAAGTTTCTTCAGAAAAGATGCGAATCGAATTCTAGATATAAGTTATATCTATCACCTTATGCATTGAAACAAATAGATCATAAAAAAATTCATTATATAATTACAATGCGTTTATTTGATGTTGGTCGAAATGGAGCATTTCAAATGAATGATCAAGTTATTAAGTATTACAAAGGAATTCTTTTTCTACCATCAAAAATTGAACCTGAATTTATTGTTTATGATACAAACATGGATTTGATGAATCTTGAAAATTCTTAGTTTTATTTTTATCATTATTTTCAAGAAAAAGTTTTCTTCTAGTTGTATCTATATTTAAAATAAAAATATTGTATCTTATTATTGTGTATAATATATTCATTTACTTTGATATGATGAATTTCAATGAATGATTAGCATAGAATGATGACTGATTCACTGATCTTGAAAACGAATTAGTACAAAGAATGAATTTTTCCTTCAGTTTTAATTGACATATTCATTATAGAGTGAATACTGAAACTATCTATCGATGAAAATAGAAAAAAAATCATTCTCCATTCTTCGACAGAAATCAAGAAAATATAATCTTTTTTTTCGAGACAAATAAAGCTAAAGTTTATATGGGAAGTTCATCGGGCGAATATGTCAAAATAGGATATTTCAACTTTCAAATAATTCATATTTGAATATTTCTTATTTTACGAAAAATGTTTGTGTCATACTTTCGAGAAAAAACAATAATGTCGTATAAATCAATAAAACACTTTGACTGTATGATTTGTCTCTGTCTCCTGTCGTGTTTCTCCATTTTCGAAACACCTCACACAACCCTTCTGTGAATTAGTCAAGTACATTTAATCTACGCTTTCAGTTTAAAATTTGTTCGAATAGTGCTGTGTTTCTCGAACGTATGCAATTGTCAAGATGACTTTTTCTAAAAAGTTCCGATACTCGTTCTATGCTTCAGAAATGATGAACATGTCTCACGAGAAATTTTATGAACATAATAAAATGAATTCTTTGCAGCAATGTACAATGAAGTTCATTTTTCCGATGTGATAAATACTTTCTAGCTTTTCGCGCTGATTTCTGATGACAAATGCGGTTAAAAACTAGTTGTGCCTGACAATATTCCCTATTCAGAAGTTGTTATTAATCTAGCTTGATCAGAGTTAACGTAACCTGTATCCTTGCGTAATATGGAAAAAATTCAATTTTATAGATTTGTGCTAGGTAAAATTTTATTTGCTCTGCCAGTCTGTATGACGATCATGGTGAAGCATGTGGGATCCAAAGGTTGATCTATTGTATCGTCGCTGAGCTTAATTGGATAAAAATAAAATGGGTGTGGATATAGTGGTGGTGCTAAATAGCTGAGTAACTTCTTCTACCATATCCTTCTTGAAATTAAATATTTTAATTATTGGATCTAGTGAATGAGATAAGCCTATTAGGAAAATTACATCGAAAGAACCGTGTTAAGATTTTATTATTCTTGTGATCGACTTCTTGTTGTCGTATATATTTGATCATATTATGAAGTTTTTATAGTCCGATGGATCTTCTGTGAAATCTAATCAAGTAAAATCGATTGAGACCGGTAAAGTAATGATATGGGCTTGTAATTTTATTGATATCATGCCCATGCATACATTCTTATTCCTAAATGTCGTAATTTTGTAAATAAAATATATGGGAGCGTTCAGTAAGGAATACTCCAATTTTGTTTTCTTTTTAAAACCTCAATAGTACATGAGAGTAGAATGTTTTTTTTACCAGATATAGTTCATATGTAGAGCTAAAAGATACCTACCTTTTTAGTCTTATGTTGTGATAGAAATAAAGCGTCCCAGTTATTTCTTTGACATCATATAGTTCAAAAGAATTTGTTTTGACTTAGTTTCTATAATTCAATTCTTACATGGAGAATTTTCATGAATTCTCTAAAGTCTTGAAGACTTACAATGTAGTTATTCAAGACGTATTGGTTTGGAGTTCAGCGTTACACTGCAAACTTTATAAAACTTATTTAAACCAGATATGAGATCGAAAAAAGTAGCAGACCAATCAGAAGTTATTTGAAAATCTATCCCAGACCTTTCAATGACTTTGAGAAGATGAGAAAAATTTCACGTATTGCTCATCCTTTGTCTGATCTCAAATTAATTTTTAAACTAAGTTCTTCATAATAAAATTCTTTTACTAATACTTCATTTTATTTCAGATACTCTAAGTCAGAATTCAATTAAAGGATCAAAGTCAAAAAGAAATATCTTGAACTATATGATGTCAAGGAAATACTTCAAAAACGTCGCTTCTATCACGACATAGAATTCAAAAGGTCGATATTTACTAGCTCTACATATAAACAACATCTGATAAAAATATCATGGTGCTCCGATATATTAGTGAGGACTTAGAAAGAAAACAAAATTGGGACATCCCTCACTGAACGCTCCCACATATATATTTAGATAGGTAGATAGATAGACTAGGCTCAAAGTGCACTAATTCATTTGTTGAACATGAAAAAATTCAATGAACGAGATTAATAAAGCATTGTATTATGTACCCATTCTAGTCTATGTATATTAATATCTTCGATTTAAGATCTTTATATTCTTGACTTGATGACATATGTACTATTGAAAGCTGGTAATAAAGAAATGAGAAATTTCATATTCGTCTTTTTATTTAACTTTGCGTTGCTGGTCTCTTTATTTCTGAACTGAGCAGAGCGCTAGAGGAAATGTTCTGAATCTACAGACTTATTAGCTAGAAAAATAGTTTATATGAATTCTTAGTTATTCTAAAATGGTTATAACAATGTTAAAATACTTAAGAACTCATGTACAGGTTTTTTTAAGTAAACTAAGTCTTTTAATTTGGGATATTTCTTCTACCCATTTACTCACGCGATAACTATTTGAGAAACTTCTTTCAATTGCATAAATCTTTTTGCCTGTAAGCACAACATTGTACTCTAATAAAAACTGTAAAAATATTTGAGTTTCTATTGAGATTTGATGAAGCTATCGAATTTTTCATATACCTCTTTTTAGGAGATCCTGTAGTACCACAAGTTTTTGGAAAAAATCAAATTTTTGAATTTTGACCTGAACTTTTTTTATGTATAGAGACCGTAATTAGACAATCTTTGATAAAAATTTTAGAAGCTTTTATCAAAGTCTCTTTCAGATGTAAAGCTTTCCAAACAAAGTGTTGTACACACCATCTATGTAAAAGAACTTGATCCTGGAAATTTCATATCTCGGAGAGACTTTGAGAAAGCTTCTAAAATTTTTATTAAAGCTTGTCTAATTACAGTGTCTATACATAAAAACGGTTCAGATCAGAATTCGAAGATTTGATTTTTCCAACATTTCGTGATGCTATAGGACCTTCTGAAAAGAGATATTTGAAAAATTCGATAGCTTCCAAGGCAGGCAAACAACGAAAAAAACACATAAAAACGCATTAAAATTTTAACGAAAACAAAAAAGTAAAAAGTACACATTTTTATGATTTTGTTTTTCATTAATGTTTGTCAATGCGTTTACTTTCGTTCAAAACTTTAACGCGTTAAAGTTTTGAACGAAATATAACACATTGCTAAACATTAATGGAAAAAAGTCATAAAAAGCACACATTTTAATGCGTTAAAGTTTTGAACGAAATAAAACACATTGATAAGCTTTAATGAAAAACAAATCAAAACAATATGCACTTTTTACGACTTTTTTTGTTTCGTTAAAATTTTGATCCATTATTACGCGTTTTTCTTAGTTGTTTGTTTAACTGGGAAGCCAAACTTTTTTTTTTGATGTCCTTATAAGCCACATAACACTTTCATTTTTTTGCATAGAATAACTTCGATTCATTACACCATTATTCTGCTCGTCAGTACAGAAGATTTCGTAAAAATAAAGTGAGCAAACGTAAGTCTTTTAAAATTGCATTCTCTTCAGAAGACCTTTTTCATTATCAGCATCCAACAAATTTTTCTATCCGTAAGTAGTACGGCTAAGCTTGTATAGTATTGTTTTCGTACCATAGTAATTATTTTCCTGCCGACAAAAATCGTAAACTATCTCTGTAGCTAAGATTCTCAAGAGAATTTTCAAGTTATAATGAAGTTATTTGGTGCTTGTGTTTTTTTTCGAAATTCTATGATGAAGATAAAAATCATAAAAGATTATTCAGGAAAAGAAAAGCTTGTTAGCGCAGTCCCGTTAGGAGTGAAATGTGGAACTCACATATTCCATACAAAACACATATGCAATGACCTTGAACTTCGGTTGCTAAGGTCTGTAGCGGAGGGAAAGGATGGGGAGCCGAAAAACTTCAACTTAACACTTACACTCACTATTTTCTTCGAAAATATATGTGAGTTCCCCAAAATGGGCACACCTGTCTGGCGAAAAGACGATTTCGTTAAAATATCTCTAGCTATGAAATTTTGTTGCGTATTTTTCGATCACGGCAAACAATCACAATTGTAAAGCAATTTAATTTTCTTATGATTCAATACCGTACCCATAACACTAGAAAATAAAGATGCCCTAGTATTAATGATTGCTTCAGCATTAAATACTCTTTAGAATCCCAGAGGAGTAATAGCTATAGACAGAAAAGCAACAAAATTGGTATAAGAATGCTGCGAACATGGGATGTCAATAATTTTTACGAACCAATAGAACTCATTAATATTTGTATGCTCTTGTTTCATACTATAGCAGCAAATTAAACAAACATTTTCGTTGAGTTTTGAAATCTGTACTCTGTAAGTGTACATCAGAACTCTTCCATCACAAGCCTATAGAGTTAATAAATAAATGTTAGTTTTCATGAATTTTCGAAAATATCTCCTTTTTTACCGTATTTTTCCTGGAGCAAGATTTTGGTTGGTGCAAATGTCACTAAACGATTCTATACAAGACTAGACACATTGTAAAACAGTATTACTTCGAATAGTTTATGTATTCATAGTAAGGGAAAGTATGCAAGACAAGGATTAGTTTTTTGAAAAAATAAGTTTTCTACGTAGAATCTTTATTACTGATAAACTTTTGTAATATTACTAGGATAAATTTTTTCTTTTATATCTGTGTTGACCATTTCTGTAGGGCTTTGTAGAAAATTGAATGCTAAATGTTTTTTGGAAAAAAATCCGTTCCGAAACAATAAAAATTGACAGAGATGTGTGTCGCCATGATATGTGAGTCATAAAGAGTTCTGGTATAAGACAATATATAAATGGACATAATGAAGAAAAAGAGGTCCTGCTTGGATCAAAGCCTACATTATTTAAAATACTAAAAAATATTTTAGAACCATTTAAAGTTCGAGAAAAGCTTTGAAATATTCTAAAACAGCCGAAGTCTTGTTGTTGATATAGTTCAGTTTTACTTTCCATTGGTGAGGAACTCTAGAAAATAACTCTGAAGCCTATTATCCGCTGTTGGTGAGATCTGTAACGAGGAGGGAGGAGGAGCCACGAAACTTCGACTACAAACTTCCACTCACTAGTTTCTTCGAAAATATATGTGAGTTCTACAATATTGATGTTCATAAAATAGAGATACATTAAATAACAAAGAAAGATTTTTTTTCATGAACATCTTGTCTTTCATTTTCTTGAGGTAGCTTGCAAACAAGTTTTAGCATCATGAATATCGAAGTATTGTTAGTGATAAGAAAAAACATTGATCAACATATTCTGTTGATATGTTAGTTATTTGTCTATTTGACTATCATAGAAAGAAATCTTCATTTATTCTTTACGTTCTGTTTGTTATTTAAATAATATAGAGGATTTGAGTGTGGGTTGGTGTGGATGTTGATGAAAAGATAACCCACACCCACCATTCACCCTTACATGGATACTATACGTTATAAAGACGCAGAATAAAGTATTACACTTTTTCCTTCATTATAGACCGACAATATAAGTCAAATTAACAATTGGACAATTTCCTAATGACAAATTCAATATTTATACACCTCAAACATGCATTGCAGCTTCGAAGAAGGTCTTCAAATCGTCTTTACATTGTGTTATTTCTAAGCATTTTGGTTAATATTTATTTCATATTTATTTGGCATAAAAAGGCGGGATCTTGTAGTAGAACCATGCGTTTGAACACCACAAATCTTTATCCAGAGGATCCTCGTGTCAATGGATTTTGTTTTCTTAAAGATGGGTTGAAAAATCAGCCATCTTTTGGTTTAAATAGATGTTCGCTTTCTGTAAATGGACAAAAAATGTTCGAAATACATGATAACAAATTTGGTTCTGATTGTGTTTATTGTTGTGTTCTTGTGGGACTCAATGCAATCAGTGAGAAACGTGCTTCTAGTACTCGTATTTTGACGATGCAAATAGCAACGATATATAATCAAACGATGTCTACTGCAAACTATATATCACAGAGATTTTTAACATTGGAAGAAATAGGAATTGATAAAGTGTTCGTTATCAACCGTGATATTAGAAAAGACAGGCTTGCTCATGTATTGAAATTGCTTGATTATCTCAAACTTCCATTTACAAGATTTCCAGCTATTGATGCCGGAAAATTTCTTCAACAAATAGATAGATTCGATCCAAGAACCAAATTTGTTCAGAACGTATCCAATATAAATGACACCAATGGAAAGAGAGCCATCTGGCAGAGTCACTTACAAGTTTATTTTAAAATAATCAATGAAGTCTCAGTAAATGATCGACCTGTTCTTATATTTGAAGATGATATTGATCTGGAAGCTAATGCATCGTCTCTCCTTAAAGAAGCCTTGCAGTCACTTCCAAATGACTGGGAAATGTTTTTTTTGGACCACAGTCACATGAAGTGTAAACGCGTTTATCCAAATAATATTTGTAGAGCACATACATTTTACTGCGCATCCGCCTATGTTGTTCGTAATTCGACAGTAGCTAGAAAATTAATTAACTGGTCTAACACAGAAGCACCACAAGGGGCTGATGCATTTTGGGGTCCATATATACGCAATGGTTCACTTATAGTATATGCTGCATATCCAAATCATATTGCCATACAATACAGAAGCAAATTCGGAAGTGATGTTCCACAATCAGGACCTATTAAGGTTGTAAAGCTTCGAAATCCATTGTCGAAGATATTACAAGAGTAAACTTATTGGATTTTTTATTAAGTTTTAGAAGCAATCTCTTACATTGAATCTGTTCCGTAGACTGAAAGGTTATGGTCTACAAACGGTAGTTCAATCCTTTTATCTGTCTGTAACACGATTATTTAGTCATTGAAAATTAATTTTGACTGATCACAAGGGTGTGAGTGGTAATCATCCTACCCACACCACACATCCATATCCATTCTTGCTATGTAGTGATGATCAAGCATAAATAAAATTGTAATACTGTTATGTCAGAAAAACTAGGGAAGAAAAATGAATTGGCGCGCACTGTAATTAAAATTAATATTCGACACAATCATGAAATCTGTACTTAAGTCTAGAACTGGTTACCTGTCTTCCGATAATGTTCTCACACTAGAAAGTCATCCAAACGAATGAATGATGCTTTTTTTAAAAAGGATATGTTCAACTTTTCCAAATTCCTCAATTACTTATTTATTGTGTTTACAACTAAATCGCTATGAAATAAATAGAACAAATATTTTCGTTCAATCTCATATAATTATTATAATTCATCAGGTAGCTAGTTGCATGTACCTAGCATAAAAGAAATGATGGGCAACCGCAAAGGATAAGACTTATAAGGCTGAAGTTTTGCCCATAATCCTAAATATGTCTAAGCATTATAACAGAATACTTGAACCCAAACAACGGCTTTTAGAAGAAGCGCGTAGAAAAACTTTAGTGCCCCATGTATTTCGAAATGTCATTAGCTGTTCCTACCATAATAAATGGTGTCATATAGAAAAGGTCTTATCTTTATGAAACACGATCTAAAAGAAGTGCCGAAATATAGGGATGACAATTTGGACTCCTCCTCACATACTGTGACAGATGCTAGTCAGAAACCATCCAAGACCGTACATGAACAACATCTCATTCTGATATAATGAAGCATTTTCATATTGCATTTCTGAAGGATTCAGTAAGAGGATGATGAAGAAATACATCTTGAAATTGATAGCATAAAACAATCTCTCTGTGATTACCAAGCATAGTTAAGATGGTGGAAAAAAGTTTAATCACAACGTACTTTTGATTGTTTTCGATAAATTCAAGTATCTAGCTCAAATCCAGATAGTGATTTTAATAGTAAATGGAGTTTTCTATCTAATACATTCATAGATGAACTATGATGGTAAGGTTTCTAAAAAAACTGGAAACAATAGTTTTCTGATTCCAGAAGACTTTGTCGAAGCTATTTTGTAATAACGACATTTTAACGAATACAAAATTCTGAACAAGATCGGGAGTCGCTGCATTTTCTATGACCTTTCTTTAAAAAGTTATGTATGATTAGCAATTTTTTTGTCGATTTTTGTGATTAGACCTATGACAGCTCGCAGTTGGATGTGGGTGTAGGTGTAGGGTGGTTGGGTGGTGTGTAGAGCCCTTCATCGGATCCACAAGCGACGTGTTGGACCCGGTCAAAGAAATGTCAGCCGTTCCGTCATTTTTTGTGCTAATACATGATTCAAACATTCATCTTGTAGCGAAATACTTTCTCTTTCATCTCATATATTTAGAGAACCATTAGAGTTCTTCATAGCCAAAATTTTTTAATAGAGATAGTCCGGGCCCAAACTTGGATCCGGCAAGTTCAGACCCGGAGTTTTTCTTTTAAAAACTTTTGGCCATCATGAACTCTAATGCTTCCCTAAATAGATGAAGTGAAAGAGAAAGTATTCCTCTACAAAATAAACGTTTGAATAACGTATTAGCACAAAAAATGACGGAACGGCTGACATTTCTTTGACCGGGTCCAACACGTCGCTTGTGGATCCGATGAAGGGCTCTAGTGGTGTGTGAGATGTAGGTGTTGTTATATAATCAAATATCCACACTCACACCCACATCCTAAAAACGAATGTTTCTTTTGATGGTCATTTCATGCAGCAACATCATTTTGACCTTGTTCTATGTTTTATTGGCTATAAATCGTCTTTCTCGATAATATATTTATGTTTGTAAAAATTATCTGGCATAAATACTTTTTAAAAAGTGTGAAACGATGAAAACAAAAACTTGTTGTCCAAGTTTTTGTAAAGAAAGAATCTTTTTCACTGTATGAAACATTTCTTACTTCAGGAATGAAAACAGCTATCATTCACTCGTTATGTTTGACATGGACATAGCACTTACTTAGCGTCGCAATTCGTTTTTTCTTTCGCCAGAAGGACAATCACAATCCTCTCGGATCCCTGATGTCTACTCCAATACTGCCGTTATAACTGTTCGTTCTTCATTTGATATCATACTTTCAAACATAAAAAAACAAATGTAAAGCAAACAGCGAAAATATATCAAAAATATCATGTTATGATCAAAACTCTGAATAGGTCTTTTGTAACATAATTCACGTATTCATTCAGTAAACTAAAAACATTTTTCTACTTCTTTTATTCTATAAATATATATATATGTCGACAGTGTTTATTCAGCTTAATTGAAGGTTTTACCTCAAAAATTTGACAGTAATTACTCCGTATCCAATAAATACTGTATATTCGATATTTATTCTAATGTGAAGGAGATGAAGAACGATTTGATCATAGTATATAAGATCGAACACAATCTTTCATTTCAATACTAAAACTCGAATCAAAAACCAAGTAAGTAATGACAATGCATCTGTCATTTCTCATCATCACTATTCTTCTTCTTCTTTTCCACCAATCAGTTATTAGTAAGTATTACATTCGAAGAAATACAATTAAGATCTCATTCTACATTTGTTTTCATAGGTCAAACAATTCGATCAACATCTGGATGTTCGGTTGCACTCTGTCCAACAAGAAATAATACAAATAGCTCTTGTTCATTAGCCAACACACAGATGTGCTATGCCTATACAGTTACAGCGACTAATCAAACATTCTGTGGTCCTTCAGCTCCATGTTCACTTTTTGAACCATGTATTAACAATATCTGCTCTTCAAATACTAGTATTTGTTTATCCAGTGTATGTTGTGCTCAACCAATCTGTATGTCTATCAGCTTGGGTGTTATAAATTGTAATGCAAGTAAGTGAAGTAATCATCGACTGGAATAACAGAATACAATCTAATATAGAGAGAAAGTGCAGAGAAGAGAAGGAATCAGAAGTCGTTGATATAAATCTAGAGCAAAAATGATGTACAAAATACTCGTAAGTCATCTATTATACCAATAAGCTTAAAATATCGAGTCTCCACAACAAATAATTCTTCAGCATATTGATTTATAAAAAGGGATTAGTTTTCATAACTTTTTCTTCTAGGTATTCCAACTATACTACCAGCTCAGTGCTATAACCACATTGTCAACTCTGATGAGACACGCAATGTAGCATATACTCAATCAACTAGCATGTGTGATCGAACAGAATTCGCAACTCCAAAATGGGTTCGATTTAGTGGATCAGCTGGTACTCAACTAGCTACGTGGGTCTCAGAAATGAATCTTTGTGGCACATCTTATCCAGGTTATGCCAATCAGACACTTCCAAGTAGAGCAGGCGAAACAAAAACAGTCTCAGTATGTTTTTACTACTATGGCGGCTGCAATGGGTACAGTACAATCTCGGTAACCAATTGTCTCAACTACTTTGTCTATTATCTTTCTGCTCCACCATCGTGCAATCTTCGTTATTGCACTGCTTGATTGATACTTCAAATCAATATTTAGACCATATGTTTTATTCTTCAATATATACTAATGTATTACTTTCTTGAATAAATCTATCATCAATATCTATTTATCATCCCCTAATACTGGACATACATACAAGTATATCTTAGGACTTGAAAAAGAATATCTATACAGAAATAGTAGATGATGGGAAATTTCGAACCTAGAATTTCCTCAGACATGTCTTAATCTCAATTTCTTGACTGATCTGTGGTTAGAGATGTACCAAACACACATCCAAATACATGTTTGGATTATTCTGAAATTCACAGAAATACATATCAATATCTTATTTCAGCATATAATAGACCACAATTGCGGATGGACTAGAGCTGTAACCGATAGTGGTAAATAATCGATCCGGTCCAATTTGATAGAAGACTCCTTATCGGTCGTTAGACACAATTTTCTCTTTGCTGGTCAGTCTGACATTTTTGTGTTGTTCCATTTTGTTTCCAAAGAAAGCTCGTCAAAAAAATGTTTTTTTTTGCGAATCAAACGCTTTTTATTAATGTGGAAGACACTCTCTGAGAACAAACTTTCATTAGACTATTTTATTAAGTCAAAATTCATCATAGCACACTTGATGTGTTTTATTATCTCACATTGATATCATGTTATGTAATGACTGTGGATATGGGGTGAGCTAAAACGCGACTAATAGTCACAGCCACAACTCCACCCACTCACACCCTTTTACCACAAGGTGCTGAAAAAGCATTGACGGTGCTCATGATAAGAAGTGCTTTGATGTTGAAGGTTTCAAATCTGCACTTTTTCCTTGGTTCCTTGGTAGATTTCTTCATGATTTGACAATATCTATTTTGAATCTGCTAATCGTTTAACTATTTTGAGCTTATTTAGATTTCTATCGATTGAACATTGTCGATTGGCTGTTGAGCGGTGGCAAAGAGAGTTTAGTAAATGAAAAAGCAGAAAATCAATTAGCAGATCCCTACCAAAAATAATAACATCAAGAAGAAACTTTCAAAGTCACTCATTTATAGTAAAGATCAATAGTGTTGAAAGATGTACATTCTTCATTGAAGCAAATTGTGATGAGTCATATGCTATACTAAAATTAAGTGCTTAAACCGTTCTTGTAATAAGTATTCACTTCATATTAAACGGATGCAATATAGAAAAAAAGCTATCATCGTAATCCACTGCGGAAGTAAAGTGTAAAACACGGTATACATACTTGTGTTTGTATATAGAAAAATCATTTCATCAGATAACTGTTATTGATATTATGTCTTTATAATTCGAATTATGTCTTCTAAGTATTATATATTTGATATCTAATAAAGATATATAATCAAGTTCACTATATAATTTTCAGTTGACTTGAATTTCTTGGCTATGTCTATAATGATATGTTGGGAATTCAAATTTCTACTGTTACATTTCAACAGTAGTTTTAGATCATGTTTTTTAAAAGAAGGAAAAGAAAAGATTTTTTCTCACAAGTGGAACTAACCATCTGTCTATCTAACTACCTACCAACTTATCTTATAACAACTTTAAAAAATGAAATGAAAAAAGATATCTTGTTCCATTCTGTATATAAATATTTGACTTTGCTAAGTATGTGTTATATCTGTATCGTTGTGTCTAACTTGAATTTTTGAATTGTCGGTCACACATATTCATGTTATCATCAAAATCCGAATGAAAAAGCTTATTAGTGCAGCCTCTTTGAGGCTGAAATGTAGAACTTACCTATGTTCTCTAGCTTCATTAAACTAATACAAAATACGTAAAGTGAAAAATCTCTTGTAGACTATCGTTATTCATTTAGGATAATCGAACATCAGAGTGAGAATCTTTCTAATTTGTGCATTTCGAACAGAATTCTTTTTTTTCTACGGGCGCTCTATTTTTATTTTGTACCGTTGCTGTTTGCTCATTATTATTTATTTTTTTAATTCGTTTTTCGTAATTCAACATTCTTATTATTTTAATCATTGAATTAATTGACAAATAAATCTGTTTTACATATCCATGATATCTATAAAAGATCTTACGTACTATTATATACATTAATCAACTTTGTAAAAAAAAACCTAGAGAGTCTGACGTCTGTTGTTCTTGGTTGACAAAATCTGTAATGGGCTTATAAAAGTTCGATATTAATGAACCCAAGAACAAGCATATGAGTGATGCTTGAAAAATCGAAAGTTCATAAACGCAGTGCATCTTTCAAAATTGAATGAGTGAAGACCGATCGGTATGAATATTAGCCAAAAAACTTCATAATAAAAGGATGACAGTCTGTTTCAATAAAAAAACTTTATTTGAAAGGAATATGTTAAACAGCTGTAAAAGAAATAATGGACAGAAATCACTCAGCAATCTCGATAAAAAATTAAAATATCTTTTTATTATAAAATTTATCATAATAATATATTGCTATGAGATTATAAATAAATAGATCATCGAAAAAGTGCTGAACCTATCAAATAATATTTGAAATATAGTATACGTTTGCGTCATTTGATTACACATTCGTAACTAATACTTCTGTTTACAAGAATTAGATGGACTTGATTAGAAGTTGTAAACTATTAGTTATTTCTTTTGTATCTGTATAATTTATTTGAGTCAATTATCAGTTTCATATAACATTATTAAATCAATTTAATTATTGTCAATTACAAATTTACATGTGAAAGTTCGAATCTTTGCTCTTTGGTTCCAGATTTCTTGGCTATTTTTCATAGCAAACAATATTCATCCAATCGTTTTATCACAGTCAACTGCTACTCAATGACTGTTCAAATAAGATAATGAGAACTATCGCTCTGCAAAAGACTGGGAGATAATTTGTATTTTGTTCTTACTTTTCCAGTTCCAGTTCTTTGTAAAAGAACTAAATGAGTAATACCAGTTCAGTTCCTCGATCGTGAACTGTCACAGATCTATTTATAATACTTTTAATGTTTTAAGGGAAAGTCGTAGAAAATGTAGCGACTCCTCATTTTATTCAGAATTTTGTGCTCTTTACAATGACATTGTTGAAAAAAAAATGGTTTCGACAATATCATTTTTGATATAAAAACTATTGTGTCTGGCTTTTTAGAAACCTGATCATCATAGTTCATCTATGAATATATCAGACAGAAAACTCCATTGGCTATTAAAATCACTATCTGCATGTGCTGAACACAAAAGAAAAAAAAAATTCAAAGTACGTTGTTGTTGAAATTTTTCTCATCATCTTATATCGTGTTTCACAATTTAATCTAATAGCTTTTTACTTTTATATTTTTCATCTTTTCTATTCTGTTATTTATTGATTCATTACAGAAAGGAAATATTTTAATTCTCATATTAATATAAAATTAGAAAATGTGTTAAATAAATTCATCAAATTATTAATGTCATTAATATATTCAGTGTTATAACTAACATACCAGATTTCAAAATACATTCAGTTACTATAATATCATTTTCTGTTAATCACTAGAATTTTCGTTCCTTTGTTCTCTTGTTTTTGTTTAGAAAAATTTTTAGTCGAAAAGAAATCTTTGTCATGTGTTTTATAATAAAAAGAAAATTTTACATTTTCTTGTTTATTCAATTCGAATCAAACATAAAATAATAGCTGAAAAAGAAGTTTCAACTTTACTTCACAACGATGTTAGAGGCAGTCATTTTCAGACAACAATTAATCCAATATGATGAAGTGACAGAAGATTTTTCGTCTGCTAGAAGTTTAAATACATTAATAAAGACATATTTTATAGCAAGAAATATAAAATATCTAGATTAATTAATCAATTAAAAATATTTCTGTAATCATCGTTTGTTTTAAATGAAAACAAAATATTTTATATAAAACAGCAAGAAAAAAGATTTTTCGAATCTAATCAGAATACATTCTTCGAGATACATATTTCGATAATTATATAATGTTAAAGAGGCAGATATCTACACGAGAATTCCAAGTGATAATAATGATTTATTGAGAGGAGGAGGGTACATCACTTCCACTCTCGTGAGATCTGATTAGAGTCCATAGTAGTTTTTCTTCGATATAATTTGAATCTTCCACAAATGTATTGTAATTCTTCTATTAATTCCATATTTCTTTCTTGTTTTCGACTTTTAACAATCATTCGATATTATAAGTCTATCGAACATCTTAAAATGATACATTGCATGAACTTGCTTATAGATCAAATATGAAGATAAAAAAGTCCATAAAACAAATTACATATGTAACGAAACGAACAAATGGCTGTAATATTTGATTTACTGGTTTTTAATTTTAAAAAAAATAGAATAATTTAACAAATAGAAATCTTGATTTACAGAGCACAATTAAATACTATATATAAAGTTTGAAGTTCAATTTCGAGAATGAAAATATTGTAGATTCTAATAAAATGTCAAATTTACACGAGAACACTGATTCAATGTACTTTGAATACTATCAAAATTTTAATTGTAATTCTAGTATGTCTTCAAAAATACTTTTTTATCATATGACATCAATGAAAGTTCGGTGAAGCAAGTTATTTTATATGCTAATGTATTCATGATTTTATTATTGCTTTTTTTCAAGTGATTTCTAACAGAGTTGACATAATAAAAAAGATAAAAAATGAAGTACTTATTTATAATTGCATATGAAACAAGAATAGTATTTTCTTTCTAGTAATTTAGAATAATTTATTTGTAGCATAGGTATTCATTGCAATAGTCACAATAGGATTTTTTTTCATAATTTATCGGAATATTTATCATAAAAACAAGACGATTTTCTATAGATAATTGTTCTTAATTGCTTTATAAATCAGTCATTTGAAAAAACACATTACAGAAATATTGCTTTTATTGAAGAAAAGTCTATTAGAAGAACAGGCTGTCGACAAATACACAAAAAAAATATCTTTTGTATTATTGACATTCGATCGTCAATTGACATAGATTGTATTTATCTATGATGTTCATGAAATCGTAATCTTTCTATACACCTCTGTAATTTACTTTAGTCAAATTTCGTCAAATAAAATAATTGATCATTGTACAAATCACGTGCCGATCGATTTAACTGTAGACACGAGTGTCCGAAAATAGATCAGCATTATACTCTTCGATCTATTCTACTATTAAAAAAAACGAGAAACTTGCTTCTCTTTTTCATTTTCTTATACTCGACAACAAGGGTATGTAATAGTAAAAGAACGAGATATGTCTTAGAGACATAATAGTAATCATAAAATATTCCATAAGGAATAAATAAGGATCGATCCTACTAAAAAAGAAACTGATTTGTTTTCTTATTTGCTATTCTTTTTCTCAATATAGTTATATGCAGATGAGATTGGATTTTCTATAAATAACTGAACACATTTATTACGCCGTTTTATGCTAAACTTTGATAGATTTTTAAATAGTTAATTAACTTCTATTTTCTAAATGAATAGAATATTAATGTACTCCATCACCTTTGTTCAATGAGTTTGAAATATAATTACATCATCGTTCTTTTTCCATTTACTCATTTTCTATGACGAAAAAGAGAACTTGTCGTATCTTTACCTTTCACTAGTAATATGCGTTAGTAATACTTAATGATGACGCACGAGATGTATGTGTTAAAATTGAAGGACGAGTGCAAGCAAATACACTCATTTTTTTTTTCATGATGAAAGAACAACAAAAAATGTCGTGACACTACACGTGATCGAAGAAAGAGAATCAACGAGTCTTTCTTTTTTTCTTTCATTTTATACAGCGCACAGTAAACGAGTAATGTCAAACAAAAAAAGTGAAAATGTTCTTGAAATACCACATCTTGATATTCTACTACTTATTGTTGGTACCAGAGGTGATGTTCAACCATTCATTGCGTGAGTCATTATATTGATGAATTAATAAGATAATATTTTTCTATGTTTTTTTTTTTTTAGTCTCGGTCGTGTACTTTTAGCAGCTGGTCATCGTATTCGTTTAGCTACACATGAAACATTTCGTAAATTTGTTCGAGAAAATGGTCTAGAATTTTATCCATTAGCTGGTGATCCAGAGTATTTAATGTCTTTTATGGTGAAAAATTCAGGTATTATTCCTTCAGTAAGTAGTATTGCTGCAGGTGATCTAGCAAAAAATCGTCATGTTTTAACTGAAATTCTTGCTTCAACATGGCGTGCTTGTACTGCTGAAGATGATGAAACAGGAAAACCATTTACAGCTGAAGCTATTATTGCTAATCCACCATCATTTGGTCATATACATTGTGCACACAAATTACAAATACCTCTACATATTATGTTTACAATGCCATGGTCACCAACAACTGCTTTTCCACATCCATTAGTTAATGTTGATTATTCGAAAGCAACTATTGAAAAAGTTAATATGTTATCTTATAGTGCAATTGAAATGTTTGTAAGTAAATGAGAAACATATACTAAAATATTATATTGTTTTATTTTTTAATAGACTTGGTCGAGTATGCGTGATATTGTGAATGAATTTCGTAATGAAACATTAGGTTTACCTGCATTGCATACTCGTCAAGCAACATATATGATGATTGATGAATGTGTCCCATATACATATTGTTGGTCACCAACACTTGTTCCTAAACCAGATGATTGGGCATCACATATTAATGTTTCAGGATTTTTCTTTCTTGATCATGATGCTACTGCTGATAAAAAACAACCTGATGATCTAGTTAAATTTCTTGGTCTTAATAATCATCATCATCGAAATGAATCATTACCACCAATAATATATATTGGTTTTGGTTCAATTACAGGACATGATTCTGATCGTATTCTTCATGTTGTACTTGAAGCACTTGAAAAAACTGGCTATCGTGCCGTATTATCTGGTCTTGCTAAAGATGATGATAAATTACCAAAAAATGTTTTTAAAATTGACAATGTTTCACATAATTGGCTTTTTTTACATGGTAAGTCCAATTAGAAATTATGAAATATATACTCGTACAAACTATTTGTGAAACACAATCCTTAAGGAATGTTGAAGTATAGAGGTAGAAATTTGGATTCGGACTCGGTCGGATCCAAACCCAAGGTTTTTCCTACCAATACCTGGCACCTTTCATGTACATGAGTAAGTGAAGAATCAAGATTTCAGCTATTTATTCGCTACTCTTAGGAAAAAACTCAACGTACCGTCATATCTTGTTGCCGGATTTCTCGTCTGGGAAGCAGCGGGTCCACAAAAATGTGTAACTGGGCCCAACAAAAAATAAAAGATGGGACCAGGACCCGCAGTTTCCTTTCCAGACCATGAACGACGCTAGCTAGAGAACATCACAAACCATGACAGATGTTGATATACAAAAGGTTCGAAAAGCCATTGATCAAAATGAAAATTGTATATTCCCACTATGGTTCCATTGGATGAACTGATTTTTGTACTGGTAGTAGAGGACACTTCAAAATTTTTATTGATAAATATAAAATTCTCAAATACTTCTACAAAGTAGCACTTTCAGGTTCAATACACAATTACATCCTTTTGTTGAGTTGTAAAAAAAAACAATATGTAAGATTTTGTTGCATTATTGTGAATTTCCAATTCTCTGAGCATATTTTAATTAGATAGAATTAAACGAAACGAATAAATAGTTTATTGAGTAAATTCAAAGAATTTATACAACAAGAAGAAAAAAAGAAAAATTCAGAATGATCTTCTTCTTTGTAGGAAGATGACAGCAGATAAATTTGAAGAAGAACAGAAAAAATAAAAAAATAAAAGACAAGAGAACGTTTAGTAGCATAACGACTCGAAGAGTTCATTCAATAGAACTATAATTGATTATTTCACTAAGATTGCACTAATAGCTTTCTTTTCTTAGTATCAGCTGTATGTCATCATGGTGGAGCAGGTACAACTGCTGCTGGTCTTCGTGCTGGTAAACCAACTATTATTATACCATTTTTTGGTGATCAATTCTTTTGGGGTAATGTTATTGAAAAGAATGGTGTTGGTCCTCGTGCATTACCAGGAAAAGATCTAACTGCTGATGATTTAGCTGAAGCTTTTAAATTTGTTCATGAACCAAAAGTTCGAGCTGCTGCTGAACATATACGTGATGCTATATTAAGAGAAAATGGATGTAAAGAAGCATTACGTGCATTTCATAATCATTTACCTATATCTCGAATGCGAAGTGATCTTGAATCAACTTATAATGCATGTTATCGATTAGATGAATTTCATTTACAAATATCGAGACGTGTTGCTCAAGTACTTGTTATATCAGGTCGTATTGAACCAACACAATTACATCTAAATTCAACTCGTTATTGGCCTTCAATTTATGATAATCGTATTCATTTACCATTTCATGGCATTATGAAACATACTCAAAAAGGTGTTGTACAAATATTTTCTGATACAACTACTGGCTTTAAACAAGCTAAACATTCTGATACTTGGACAAAGAGTATATCTAATGTTGTCGAAGGTATTCTTTTAGGCTTGAGCAAGGGTATTGGTCATATATGTATAGGTTGTTTATCATTATATGGAGAATTGACAGATGTATTGAATGCTGCTCCATCATATTATGATCCTTACGAGTAAGTTTATTTATTTTATATAATAGAAAAATCTTATCAATTTAATTTCATCTAAATATGAAAAATAATGTGTTTATTTTTGTTTTTTAGTGAATCTTCACATCATTCACGACCATATGTGGTTGATTTTAATACGGGTATTAATACAGCTATTTCCGCTCTTGTTGACGGTTGGAAAGATGGTATTACAGATATTGTTACTAAACCACGTACTGGTTATGAACGTCATGGAAAATTAGGTAGTGTAGCTGGATTATTAATTGGTGTTGCGAATGGTTTATTAAAACCTGTTGTTGGAACTCTTTCATCATTGACTTGGCTTTGTCGTGGTATTTCTGCTAATATAAAGAATCAAACATTAGTCGGTAAAGGACTCGAAGCATCCACTGTTAATACACTTGGTCTTGATTCATTATCATCAACTAAGACTCATGGAGAACAAAAACAACATTATAATAATGATATTAAACAAGCTATTAAAATTGCATCGATTACATCGGGTTTTTCACCTGATGTATGTCAACAGATTATAATCGAATTTGATTCTATAAAAAATCACAATATTGATCATCGTTCGTATAAGCATAAATCATGAAAATCCCAGATAATTACTTCTGATTTTGTACATTAACTTTTTATACTCGCAACTACAACTTACATTTCCATATTATTGTATTTATTTTGCTTTCACATTTGTTTTTTTTTTGATTTCATTAAAACAAATCAGATATTCGTATCTAATTTTTTTACAAAAGTAAATATGCAAAAATAAGAGATCGTTTATTGTTCTACAAGCAACACATTTTAGTATACATATTCCTTAGGTAGAAATATCTATGCATTAGAGACGGCTAGAAATTTACCATTGCCGCGATGTGGTCCTAGAAGAGACAAGGCTATCGCGCTGCTGTCTGAATGGTATTTTTGACCTCTCTGCTAGGTATTCGTATTAAACAATATGCTATTGTTGTCTTGAATAGTATTTTATGGAAAATATTGTGCATGTCATTTGTGTATTTACATTATTCATTTGATGGATTATTATAGACTAATATAAAAATCTTTTTTTGTTTGTTGTATCTTATTAAGTCTTTCTTTGCCTAATTCAGACAAATTACAATCATCAATCCATAATTTTTTCAATGATTGATTATGTTGAATCATTTGAATAAGATAATCAATACTTAAATCTGTCAATAATTTATTACCAGAGAGAACTAACATTTCAATTGTATGATTTTGATTTTGAATTGTTTGTGTTAATATTCGAACTCCTTCATCACTTATTTCATTTTGTCCAAGATATAACCAAATTAATGTTTGATTAACTTTGATCATTTGTGCGAGATATTTTACACCTCTATCAGTTATTCTATTCTTTTGGAGAACAAGTATTTTGAGAGTATGATTATTAATTGAAAGTATATTAGCAAGAAAATAAATACCATCATCAGAAATATAATTATTTCCAAGATATAATGTTTCTAATGTATTATTATTATTTAATGCATCAGCTAAAATTGATATACCAATTGATGTAAATTTGTTGAATTGTAATGAAATGAAATTACATTGTTTAATTATAATAGCTTGTTTGACTATGATTTCCATGTCTTGATCAATTAAATCCATATTATCTAAACATATCGAGGAATGAATGTAAGATTGTGCAATTTTTTGTTCAAGTCTGGTATTTTGATATTGTGAAAATTCTGAAATAATAACAAAAAAACTAAAAATATAAGTATACGATGATATCCGTTTAAATACGATTGATGTTTATCATGAACGTAAACAACTATCGTATATGAGCAAAATTGAGTTGAGATGTTCATCTCGATTAAGGCTTACTTTTAAATTGAACATGAAATCTAATGGTTAGTATCAATTAAAAAAATAATCCATATTTTTTTTTATATAGTTTAATTTCAACAAATTTCAAAGTAAGTTTTTTATTTAAATAAATAATTTTTGTTTTGCTGACAAGAGGATGATGTAAGAGAATGTCACTTCCCTTCTTCACTGAAGAGAAGCTTATGTGTATACAAGTAGAGCCCGTGGAGTTCAATAGTTTCGAATCGTATTTTGATATTTTCAATGAAATTTTTTTATCGGAATAGGATAGTTGTTCTGAAGACACGAGATTTTTTTCCGATTTTTTTGTATTGAATGACTAGTAGAGCCCATCGCGTCTGAATCGACAAAAAAAACTTTAGATGCATATAATGATACTTTACGAATTTCTTTAAATCTTTGTTCGTTTTATTCAAAAAAACCTTAATTTATTTATAAAAAAAAAATGAGATATTTTTGGCTTATAAAATGTGATTGACTTGTCATCAGTTTTTATTAAATCGGCTAGATTTTTTTTCTTTAGAAAAACAATTCATAGCATATTATTTCGTGTATATGATTCAGTACAATGCAAAGTATTATTGATAATGGAATAGTTGATGAATGGAAGAAATAATATAAAACCTTTGTCATGCATACATGCATTCTTCTATCAGGAACTATTGAATAGAAGTAAGAACTGATTGTAACTTAATTATTATGGAATCACTATCGCATGGAGTACGATGTGGATGGAGACGAAATGAATACCCACCTCCCAAATATGAATTGGGATCACTATGTATACTAGTTATCTAACAGAAAAGAAAAGAAAAGAAAAAATATATCGTATCTTCAGGGCGACAATCAAAATCGAATTAGAAAATTTTATTAAGACGAGTACGAGTACGATTCAAATCCAGACTCACAAAAAAAAATTAATCAATTAGGTCCGGGTCCGAGTCCAGAAATTCTTGGATTCGATGAGCTCTAGTGTACCCTACAAATTTCTCAGACGAATCATCTGAAATATGTATAGTCTAAAGCCCATCGGTTACAAAGTTTTCGGATTCAGTTAACGGGAAATTTACAGATCCGACCGGTTTCGGAATTAAAACCTCGTAATTTACTCCATATGCGACCGTACACAGGGGAAACAGCGATACTCAGCTATTCAGGTCAAACAAGCACAGTAGTAAACGACCGTATACGGAGAAAAAAACGATCGTGTACAGGTGTATACGACTATCATAGTGCTCGTGCTGGATATGATATTTAATTTTTAATTAATTCCTACCATTTACAAGTTGTTGTCGAATTTCTGTTATTGCAACAGAAATATACTGTTGTTTGGATATTAATAAATGAGTCAAACTTTCATTAGTATATAACAATTGTAATATTGAAATATCATCTTCGTTTAATTGACTATTATAAAATTCAAGATAAGTTAATGAATGGCGTTCTTTAGAAGCATGAACAAGTGCTTCTATAAATTGATGAGAAATAATGGATTCTGATATACGTAGATGAGAAATAAATGAATCATTTAATAATGAAATGATAAGACAATTTTCATTTTGGTTTGATGGTTGTACATTGAAAACATGAAGATGAACATGTTTTATTGATTTATGTTTTCTTAAAACATTTAGAAGTTCGATAGTTGCACCTTTATCATTAATACATGTCTGATCTATAATATCAAGATCAATAAGATTTTCATTTTGTCCTAGTGCTTGACAAAGACTAAATAAAGTCGATGATAAATTAAAACAATAACTTAATTTTATTCGAGTTGGTGAACAATTCGAAGTAATTATTTCATTTAAGAATTCTATATTCATAAAATGATTTATGATTAATGTTGTTAATTCTTTATTCCCTTTGAGACAATGTAATAAATCTTGATCTTGTATTAAAAGGTCATAACCAAAGAAATTAAATGTTCGACATATTTTATTTTGTTGTAAAAGTTGAATCAATATTTTCGTATCTTCATTTTGATGATGATTACAAAATTGTACTTTCAATGATTGATTTTTAAAATAAACAATCATATTGTTACAAACATATTTGGATATTTTCATCCATTTATAAACTTCAACAGTCATAATTACTAACCGCTGAATAGAAGAACGATTAATGATAACATCAAATAATTTGTCAAGATCCTTTGTATTAAACGAACAATTTTGAAGAACGAGAGTTAAAATTGTAAAACCTTTTGTCAAAGCATTACAAAACATTGTGATATTTTTCGTTGTTAAAGTTCCTGTTAAAATAACTTCTTTCGTTTCTTGATTAAATTTTCCTCCAAAAGTTTCTAATTGATGAATATATTCCGACATTTTATTATGAAAACTCATCGTATGATAATGTTCTAAACACACCCAACGAACATGACCATCATTAGTAATTGTTCGATATAAATTTCCTAAGCTATGTTTATTATCAACAAGTTCTAAGAAAGCTTCAAGTTCTCGAAGTTGTGCACCTTGAAGTGATGTTTCTGGTAGCACTGTTTTTCGAATCATAGATGAATCTACATGTGAAATTTCATTATTAGTTTGATTAAGCATTTTTTCAACTAAATCTAATTTATTATTAATATCAGTATAATTATTTGATTCTTTAATAAATGATGGTAAAGTATTGACTACAACAGTTGATACATTTTCTGATTGAGGAATAACAAAACTTCCAATAGAAAATAAACTTCGAGCAATATTTAATGTTGTTCGTAAATAAGATCCATAATTAGCAATAAATTCATTTGGTTTCTTAATTGAATAACCATCATGTGGAGCAATATGTAATTTATCAGGTTCATTCGAACATTCACATAAGAAATATAATTTATAATGAAGAAGAAATAAATTTTGTACCGTATTAATCGAAGTCCAATTATGATGTTTAACTGGTAAAATAAAAAAATAACGAGGAGTTGTATATTCATGTAATTCATACATCTGTGTCATAACATGTTTTATTCGAACGAGAGTTTCTTGTGTATTAGCAAGAATAATATCAGTTTTTTTATTCATATCTTGCATTTTTGTATCGATACGATCAAAGAATGTGTATATTTCATCATTTGATTTTTCTATAGGTACTATAGCTTCAATAATTTGATCTTTGATTGCTTCAATACGTAATGGAATAAGTTGATTACCATTCATATCACGAAGAAAACTTAATTGAACATTATCAATACATAAGACAGTTACAGAAGGAAAACGTCGTTGAACATCTTCCAAACATAAACATTCAATATCATTAAATATAACTGTTTGAATCTGTACAATAATATCATGAAAACGAACTGATTGACTTTTTGTTTTAGTAATAATTTTTTCCATAATAAATTAATATAATGACAATAGTTATTTATCGTAATAATTATACTTGCAAAGAATAATAAAACAAAATGAATTATTTATCTCAAGATATTTACTAGGAAAAAAACAATGATCTAATGATACGTACCATGATCTTTTACAACATACACAAAAAAAAAACTCACGTGATAAATTTTGTCTTTTCTGTTATCAGTAACAAAACATGCTTTTGTTATATCATTACGTTAGAATAGTACAAGCAAAATTTCTAATGTTACTACTCAATTGCGAACATCTAAATTAATTTTATCGTCTATACAAATCTTTTACTCGTTACAAAATATCTTGGATAAATGAATGTTTTGAAAAGTCTTCTCTTGATAATCATCTTTTTGGATCGACTTTTGTCTCTCGAAGCTTCAAAAGAATCACTTCATGTCAGTTTTGCGTTTGTTTTGAAGTCATAGTAGAGTGTTCTATAGGAAATATTTTGAAGAATTTTATACAACCGATACGTCAACTGGTTCATACATGCTACGTGGATCTCACACAATGCCTGAGTCAGCACGGACGAAAATATGACAAGCAGCAGCATGTACGTCCAGAATATATTTTTCATTGAACACATGGAACTGAATTTGCCATGCAAATTTCTTGTGTAATGCTTGGTGTTTTGTTGTCTATTGCAAAGCCTGATACAAGCCAAAAATCATTGTTCTCTTCAACGTCATCAACGATATTGACTAAACTCTGTATGGGTAGTTCTCCTAGTGTAGTACAATCAGTTTCATTGTTTTCGTAGACCTAATTTCAGTTGATGAAAGATATCTTTATCTTGAATAAATAGAAGAAAACTAGATAAAAAAAATAGTCATAATAGTGAATCTTCGATGTGATGTCATAGATTCATATTCCAAGTGGAGATTGATCTTAGTGACACGTTTAGGATGCTCTTTCATTGATCGAAACACTTCATAACGATCATGATTAAGGGCCTCTCCTCCTAAAAAAAAATCAATTTTGGTCAAGCTTGTCGATTTTGTGATTTATAGCTCATTAGAAAACGTCCCACAAAAGAAAATAACGCTTTTTCCTCAAAATAGGATTTTTGATTTTTATGTTTCCGTGCGTCCAAGATTTCTCTGGCATTTTAAATGCTAGAAAGCTGAGCTGTGTGTCAAAATGAAGGCAAAAACCAGCTCTACAACTTAACAGAGCCGGATTTTTCGATTTCTCCATTAATGTTTATAAAAAAATGGGCTGTTATGGACCTATAATTTTTGGATTTTTCATACTTCGTCAGAGGAGCTTTCTAAGGACATAAGCTAAGAGAAAATCGACAAATTAGACTCCATTAAGTTGTAGAGCCGCATCTTGGCTACATTTTAAAACCAACCCGACCTTTCTAACATTTGAAATGGCGGAGAAATTTAGAACGCACGGAAACCTAAATTTTGACCCATAATCTTAAGCTAACCCTTCGCAGACTCAATGTATCGAACTGGAATTTTGACAGCATCAATAATACCTTCATTCACGAGATCTGTCCTACGCCAAAGTCTGAAGCAAAAGACGATAAAAAAAAACATAGAGCAACTGAGAACAGATTATTAAGATATACTGTTGAGTTCACAGGTTCGCTTACAAAGAGAACAGAATCGTTCGAAAAATGCGCATACGTGATTGAAAACTTATAAGTAACAGTTACCATCAGAAGTTAAGAAGAAATTCAACAACTCAAAAAATGTCAATAATAGATGAAGTTATGATACGAAATAGCAATCTATGTAGTAAAGAAGAGAATACATAATTTATTTCATATGTTAACATGTGTAATTCTTTTTTTTTTATGATAAAACTACGCATCTGTCCTGTATAAAAATATTAACATTGCTTCAGTTACTATCAACAATGATAGAGAGTTATAGAATTTTATTCTGTTCTTTTTATTCGAACTTGAAAATCTCTCTGCTAAATAACTTTTAGCTTCATTCTTTTTTTTCATTTATTGATAAGAATAAAAAAAACTTTCAAGGAGAAAATTCCAATGACCTTGCAATTCTTCAATGAGTAACTCAGTTCATGCGAAAAAAAAGAATGTTACGATCAATCTGGTTTATATCAATAACGAATACAGACATCAATCATTTAGAATAAAGTAATCGAAATTTAAATAAATAAATATATTTATTTTGAGTCTCTTTTTATTCCAATGTTTACTTTCAATAAAAAAAAATCGAATAGAAATTGTTGCTTATTTAACGTTTCTATTGAAACACTATACTTTAATAAAAAAATACATCGAGAGTGGCGATGAATATAACATTTGAGTTTCATTCGTTGTTTTTTTTTTTTTTTTATTAACAACATACATGTTGAATCTTTCATGGTCAAAAAAGAACTATTCAATTGTGTTAATATTTATCACCGATTGATTAAATTCAAATCTTGATTATTCAAATGAATTGAATGTATATTTTGTAGATTAATTAGCCATTATGACCAGTGTCAATAATATTAAAATAAAAGATTGTCATCATCCAGCGATACTTTTTATGACAAACTTTTATTCACAATTCTTCATCGATTTGTTTCATCAGCCTCCATTGTATTTATAGACGTTATTTTTCAGAAGAAGGAAGCTTTTGAAAAAAAACCAACAGCAGTACACGCATTTCTTGATGGATCACTGCAATTAGAAAAATTGGACATTTGTTTTTTTTTGTTTGTCTAGCAGTTTTTCTTTTTGGTTGAGTTCGAAATATGAAATAAAAAAAGGTTTTTGAAATTATTCTTTGGAATTTTCTTCTGATTTTAGATTCCTGCACAAAGAGAAAGATATTTAGAGATTGTTGGATCCGAATCTGAATTCAAACCGTACTCCTTCATTCCAGCAAAATTTTTTAATCGAAGTCTTCAAGTCATTGCGAAGATGCAATATACTTTTTATTGATTATTTATATTCTGATACTCACACGCACTATACATTTCTCAACAGAGAATGATTACAAATCGAATGCAAACTAATGACGTCGCCATAGATGGTCTAAGCCGAATGCTGTCCTGTCACCAGAAGAAAGAAAAAAGTAATAATTAACCCCCCTCCCCCTATAGAATAGAAGTTCATGGGGGTGCCTCTGTTCCGCAAGCTATAACTTTCTAACAAAGTTTGTCTCGATGTTAGTTTTTTGCGTTCTTTAATAGAGGAATGTTTCTGTGGTGAGGGGGGGGGGGGGGGATACCATCATTGACACTATATTTCATGGACTTCTTTTAAGATCATAGAATATTGCCCTACCAAACATGATCTCTAATTAGTAAAACTAGGTTCTATTCGAAGTATGTTCCTCAAACAATCGTGACAATGATCCTATGGATAAAGAAGAATCGATTAAAAAAGATTGAAATATTTATAGAAATTTTTTTATCGATTTCTTATAGATTTAGTTCGAAAAATGGACAAATGATTTAACTATTCAATTTCGAAATTGAGATTTTTTCTTCTCTTTAGATGATTCAATATAATATAGTTCCATTTATTTATTGTTTTTAACTCTCGATAGATGAAAGATGCAAAATGCTTGAATAAATAAAAATAAAAAAAAATGCTTTCAATTGTCTAACATCCTTAAAAGAAATAAGTCGAAACTATAATAGCATATTTCTATAAAAACAAAACTATTCATCATTTTGTATAGACATGTATTTTGTCAGAATGAAGCGATTGATTTAATATCCGATGGATGAATATTTGCATCACGTAAAAGTTTGACAAATGCCGAGTCGGGATTAGCAGCTAAACGTATTGGTTCATCATATTCTTGTAAATAACCATTCGATAAAACAAGAATTCTAAAATAAATGAAAAGACAAAATTTATTTATTTATTTGTATCAATACAGACTTAGTACTATCTAAAATTGTATGTAAACGATGAGCAATAGTCAATACAGTTGCATCTTTAAATCTTGAACGAATAGTCTGTTGAATGAGTCGATCTGTTTCCATATCAGTAGCTATTAGAAAAAGTTATAAACTAATAGCTAAGAAAAAAAAACCTAATCTTAACATAAACATACCAGCAGTTGCTTCATCAAATATAAATATTTTACTTTTTCTTAAGAGAGCACGTGCCAAACATAATAATTGTCTTTCACCACCACTAAAATTCAATAATAAATACACATATATATATAAATTAATAAAATAATTTAATTCACCTCATATTTTGACCTCCTTCTGCTAAAAGATATAATAAACCATTTTCCATCATACGAATACGTTCTTTTAAATGTACTAATTCTAATACAGCCCATATTTCTATATCACTATAATTACTAAATGGATCTATATTGAATCGTACAGTACCAGCAAATATGATTGCATCCTAAAAACAAAAATAAAAATATTTATGTAATCGATTTATAATTATAAAGAATGATTTACTTGTGGAATAATAGTGATCTTTGATCGTAAATCATGTAAACCAATAAGACGAATATCAACATTGTCAATTATAATTGTACCATTTGTTGGTTCAATAATACGAAAAAGAGATAAACACAAACTACTCTTTCCACTACCCGTACGACCGATAATTCCAATCTAAGTTTTATTTAGATACATTTGATTTTGACTATAGATACGCTACTATCCAGTCATCTAAGAGCTGCTTTATTAGAGATCGGGTTTTATACTCTCTTCTTGAGGGTGTGGGTGGTTGCGAAAAGAAGATTATCACCCGCACCCATCCTTTAAAATAATAAACGAACGTCACCACTGAACTCAACATGGTCGATTACCTTTAGTGTGACGCATGCAAGGTTAATTCAGGATCATCTGACTGATTTCAGGGGTCATAGGAAAATGCCTATAGCTGCTGAACGGAGCAAGCTATCAAGCTCGACCTTGCGCAGATCAAAAGAGAACAATTTTTTCTATCGAATGGTTTAATTGAAGTTCAAAGTTCAACAAAAAAAGTTTTTCAAAAGCTATGTTCAAAATATCCAGCGGGCTTTCATCCTATTGGCCAATCGCTGACCAATGAAATTTGTCCAGAGATTTACGTGCCCCAGTGTCCTCTTTTTAATGGTGAAAGTTGCAGCTCGCTAACTATTTGCGTTCTCGAGTTATTCGATCCACAATCAGTCGCCTTCTATTGTGAAATGGATATTAATTGTAACAACAAAGGATATAATAACGAAATAGGTGATGCCTCTAATAGTGAACGAAAAGAATATGAATCATAGCATAACGAAAGTAATAATGTGTGAAAGACGGAGCCTATAACAAACGGACACTCTCGAATCGATCATTTGCAATACAACCAATCTAAGATTCGTCCGAAACTTTTAGGCGAATATCAAATTGACCTCAACCAATGTCAAATCGACTAGCATATTATATTAAAGCAAAAGTTAACTTTGGCACACGAAACTATATTTTCAACCAAATACAATAGTGCTTTTCATCTAATATTTATAGTTCTCAACCCGCTATTATTTTTTTGGTCGTTTATCAGTTCAAAGAAATATAGATTCTCATTCAGAAAACGTTGACTATATTAGAGAACCGAGCATGGTCCCGTTCGAAACTTCATCGAAGTTGACAATAGATAATAGCTCGTTTTCGAATTAACGTTGAGCGCATTAGACGATATATGCCAAAGCAGCAGATTGCGCTTTGCAAAAGCTTTAATCTATTATGTAGGTATACACTCATCTCAAACTCAGGTTTAACACTTAACAAGGTTTGCACCTGCCCTATACAGGTATGTACTTCCATCAAGAATCTATACACAACTGTATGTTTTTTGATCTAAATCCGATCATACTTTCAATTAAATTTGATTAAGAGATTATCAAGGATGAAGATCTACATCGGGGAACATCATTGTGAATAAAGCTTGATCGAAAAATAATCAGAGATGGATAATGCAATCGATATATCGAACTTTTTGTTTTTAGGTTAATTTACAAAGAACTAATGGTTTCAAAGAATAACTGGAACTGAATGCTGGATCAATTCATGACAACTCGGAATGTTAGTTTTGTTGTAGAGATGCTCACAAGGCAGAATAAGGTAGCATAGGGTGAGACCTTCATATCCTTGCAAATTTAAATGTCAAGTTTCTGAGTTTTCATTTTCAAAAAGAGTGTTTTTTGGGTCTTTGTGAGTTGAAAACTGAAAATAAGTTACAGAGGGCCGTACTATTTTTTGTTGAATTTTTTTTTGTTCAAATGAAGATCTATAGTGAATTTAACTTGTGTATATTATGTCGTTTACTTTTTTTTTATCTTTTGGTAATACTCATATTTTTTGTCAGTTGAACTGTTAGATATTTATATTGTAAAATGGATTTAAATAAAACAATTTTCTATGATAAAATGTACCAACGTTGTTGCTGGAAACACAAACATACTATGTGTTTAGGTTTTTAGGAACCAGGAACTCATAGTAGATCCAATGTCATGCACATTTTTTTATTCTCGTTTTTATTCAATACATTTTTTAGACTGAACCAACATCTTCACATACACTATAGTATACTTAGTCTCTAATTCGATATTATTCGTATTAACCGTTTAATCCGTCATTGGTCTAGGCTAATCTGATGTCCGCCTAAAATTGTCAGGCGAATCCTTAGATTGCACACGTTTAAAGTGATATTCTCGTTTGGCTTAGGCGGATCTGAGATTGAATGTTAACATATATTTTACCTTTTCTCCTGATTGAATACTAATAGAAAAATCTTTCAATACCAATGGCAAATTATCTCTATATCGTATTGATAAATTCATAATTCTAGAAAATAGAAATTTCAAAAGAACAAAAAAACTTATATTCTAAAATCAATTTACTGAATATGTCCATTTGTTGGCCAATGAGATGATGGTTTCATTAGTGGAATTTCCCATGGAGCTTCAGGTGTCAATTGAGCATATTCATTAATACGTTCTACACTAATAATATTTGTTTCAACATCACTTGACATACGAACAAGCATATTGAGAGAATGTGGAATTTGTACAGCATAAGTTATCATTAAACCAACGATACCAGCTGTTAAATGATCACGCATAAATACAGCAGTTATAGCTGTAAATAATGTAAGTAAATTACCAATCATTTCTAAACGAACACCAAGCCATCTAATAATAGACAATAAAAAAAAAAGAAAATTAATATTTGATTTATGATAATTAAATCAAACCTATTAGAAACAGAAGCAGTTAAATGACATGATTGATTTCTATCCATAAATTTATCACATAAATCAATAAAACGTTGTTGTGCACGATAAGCACGTATTGAACTAAGACCTTGAATTGTTTCGCTAAAATTTGCAAAAATTAAACTACGTGTAACTGAATCAAGACGACGAAGTTGTCGAGATGATGCTATATAAACACGCTAATAGATATATATATATATATATACAAAAAATCTATTATAGTAAAAATATTTAACATAAAAAAAAAAAAATTCTACCTGAATATATATAAAAAGAATAGCAAGTGGTATGAATTCAATTATAGCAAACCATGATCCATAGACGAGTATTATTAATGTAGCAACAACTGTAATAAGTGTTGTTAATGATTGTGAAAAAGCATTCGGTAATGCTGAATCAACTGCCTCAATATCTTTAGAAAAACGATTAATAATACGACCAATTGGTGTTGTATCAAAAAATGATATTGGTGCATGAAGAATTCCAATTAGAATAAACCAATGTAATTTTCGACCAGCAATATATGCAACTAATTTTTGAATCAATTGCATAGCAAAAGCAAGAAAACCTGAATTAAAAAAAAAACAATGTATAGAAAAATTTATTGAAATTCATTATGTGAATACCTTGAGTAATTCCTAATGCTGAATAAATATTCATATAATAAATTTGACTTTTTCTTGAAGATGTATTATTTGTAGTTGTTATTACTTTCATTTTATCTGTCCATTTGGATAACCAAATATTAGTACTTAGAGAAGCAAATGTTGTTAAACAAAAAAATATACAAATTAATCCAATCATTGATAATTTACATGAACGAATATATATTAAAAATACATTAAATTTCACCTATTATAATATTTTAGAAAAAAAAAAGATTATATTAAAGAATTTAAAACAAAAAACAAGACTTACCGAACCTGTTTGTACGGTCTCTTTTTGAATGATCTTTTTCTTTTCTTCTTCAATTTCAATTATAATTGGTTGTAATTCATCTTGTTGAATATTGTCGTCAGTAAATTCAAATGATTTATGAGTCAATTCTGATGGAGTCGTGGGAATACTTTTTGGACTTTCTAAAATCATACACGAATCTTTTTTTTTTGGAAACTTTAAAAAAGTAAAAATCGTATAGATTGTTGTAAAACACGATTGTTGAAGTATATAAAGTGGAAATTCGTCCTCTGCTCAACGGAAGAATACCTGTGCCTTGTAGTATGAAGTGCCGCCTAGCGGTAGATTCAATAGTTGGATATGTTCCCTACAGCAATGACTAGCTGATGCAGAGTTTCCGTGCTCAATTGCTTGAGCTATCCATACGCATTAATTAACTACAAGAGCAGGAGTATACTATCAGACAAGTGATCGGAGACAAATAGCCGTTAGTGACTTGTTCAGGGTCATTCCATGGCTGGTAGTATTGAGGTTTACACATAACATCTTGTAGATATGTTTCGAACAACATAGTCCAAGGTGACTTCCCTCTAGGAAGCTGCGAGTCCTTCCGACCCAGATCTGAGTCCAAAGTTTTATTTTTTTTTATCGAGTCCGACTCAAATCTTGTAATTTTTGTCGGGCCCGGTTACACGTTTTTGTGGACCGACAGCTCTCTACTCCCCTCCTACAGACCGTAACAGACGTTATTGATATAAGATCAAAAGCCGCATATCATAATATATGAACTACTTCCTCATTACATTTCTGGAGATTGAGTAAAAGGATATTGAAGAAATGTGTCACAAAAAAAAATGTCTTTGTGATTAGTAGCAGTAGTTACATCGTGTTTCACATTTTATTCCTACATGGATTGCACTAACAACTTTATAAACAAATATTATTCTATCATGTTTAAGAAAATTTTTTTGTTAATTAGATATGTATTTATTTTATTTACCAATATCACTTGTTCGACGTTGATAGTATTCTGTATTAGAAGTAGCAACGGAATAAACAAAATCTCGTAGAATCGTGCTTCTAATCATCAAATCAAGATATGATCCCTGATCGACAATTTCACCTTCAGAAACAACAATAATATCATTACATTTATGTAAATGAGATACACCATGTGTAACCAAAAGACGAGTCTATTTTAATAAAATTATATTTAATTTTAAACAATATTTATAGATTCTTACTTTATCTTTTAATAATCCTTTAGGTCCAATAACATTTTTAAAAATATAAGCACCAACATGTGCATCAACAGCTGAAAGTGGATCATCAAGAAGAAATATATCAGCATTACTATATAATGCTCGAGCTAATGAAACACGTTGTCGTTGTCCACCAGATAAATTTATTCCCTATAACAAAAATAATCAATTTAAAATTTGAATAGAAAACTTCTTTCTATGATATTAAATACTTTTTCACCAATTTCAGTTTGATCACTTGCTGGAAGCATATCTAAATAGATAAATTTAAATAATTCATTGAAAATTATCATTTATTCTTTATCATACCAAGATCTTGTTTTAGTGCACATGCTTCAATTACACGATTATATAAATCTTCATCAAAATCTCTTCCAAAAAGAATATTTTCTTTCAATGTTGTATTCATAATCCATGCTGTTTGTGGTACATATGCAATAGTTCCATTAATACTTACACATCCATGAACTTTATTCATTTCACCAAGTAATGCTGCTAAAATACTACTTTTACCTGAACCAACCATACCAACAAATGCAATAAGTGAACCTTGTTCAATTTGAATATTGATACTTAAAATGAAATTTAATAAAAATTATTTATTATATATAAAAGAAATATTTTTGTTTTTCTACTGACTTTTTTAAAATTAATGAATCATCAGCAAGATTTGACCAACGAAAAGAACCATTTTCAATTTTTACTGCATATTTATCTAAAAACTTTTTCAAATTAATCATTTTTATTCTACAAATTACTTTTACTTACTAGATTTTACAGACATTTTATCAACAGCATTTTTATCAATCTCTTCATTATTTAAAAATTTTTCAATACGTTTATTTGATACACGTGCCTACAGAAAAAAAGAAAAATCTAATAAATTCTCACATAAAAAAAAACAAAATCTTTTAATTTACTTCAACAACATTATTAAAAACAGTAGGAAAAGCAACGAGTGGACTACGAAGTAGATTAAACAATGTTAATGATACAAATGCTTTATCAGCTGTTAAAATATTTGTATCCGATGAAAGAACATAGGTTGCAAATGTTGTTATACCAACCTTAACATTATGTATAAATATATAATCATATGAAAATAAATTATAAATTTTCTTACTAGAATTGGTGTAAATGTCCAAAGAATATTCGATAAAGCATTAACAATTGCTTTTTTTCTTATATATTCAAGTTCTTTTTCTCGTATATGAGTAATAGAACGTATGAATGCTATTTCCCATGCATATAATTTTAATACTCGAATTCCATTAAGTATTTCATTTGTCATTTTAATTCGTTGATCTTTAATTATCATTTGTTTAAGCTAATTTACAAAAAAAAGAATAAACAAAATTAACAAATACAAATTTATTCAATATTATTTATACTAAAAGTTTTTTTTGAATTCTTTGTAAATATAAACTTAATGGAATCATAATAAATAATAATGTAACACCAGGAATTATTGCAAATTTCATTTGTCTATAGAGTAAAATTAATGCAATTAAAAGTTGAAGTGGACCTTTTTAAATAATAAAATTTATATCAAGCAAAAATAATTAAATAAATAAATGATACATACCTGACCATAATATATGAATATGCTGGGTTAGTTCAGCAAATCTTGAAGCATCAATAGCCATCTATTCGACAAAAAAAAAATTAAAAACATAAAATAAAAAGAAAATTTAAACAAACTAAATTAACGATTTCACCAGTTGTTGTTTCCTGTTTCGATGCATTTGATAATTTTAAACTCTAAAAATAAAAACACCGCTTTTCTCCGTTGTGCTTAATAACTGTTAGCCTTCTCCTCACTGTGAGCATTCAAGCGGATATTGGGTGAAAAAGAATGAAAACGTACTCTTTAATGGCTTAAATAGCGCAACATATACTCTGACATATGGATTATTTAATCATACCAAAAGTCTTTGGTTTAATCGAAAAAAACGGGTTGTAAGAATTGGAAGTCTTTTTCCTGCGAGTAACTCTCCGAGTCTAGGCTTTGCACAGTTTTGTAGATTTTCGACTAGCGGTTCAAATGCATACACCTAATTATAAAAAAATTCTGTGTAGTCATCTTACGGAGTACGTCAATTTAAGTCCTTGAAAAAACTAGGTCAAATTATCTTATATTATACAGTTCGATGCATCTTCATCTGATGCAAAAAATCGCAGCTCTCTATCTTGTTCCTATCAAAAGTTATTTGCAATCAAAGACTGCCCAGCTTACTTCTGCATAATTTGAAGCTACATCTTTCACAAAAAAACCTATCACTTTTATCTGCTTGGAATTTAAAAAAGCCATTTTTCTCTAACATTGAATGCTGAACATGTGTTCAATATAATGAGCTTGCACAATTTTCCACAACGCCAAATGAAGCAAAACTCACATAGGATACCCTTCGCGCATAACACCTATATAGCGTTAGTAAGAATCAACATGAACGTTTCAAAATTTTCTATACAAGACTCATTTTTATTGAAGATTAACTTCATATTTGAAATCAGTATTGCATGACATACAAAAAAAATTTTTTCAAGTATAGGATCTATCACAATGATTTTTCAGTAAAACAAAGTTTTATTTTTCGAATTATATATTTATGGAAAACTACCCACCTCTCGTTGCTATAGAAAGGAAGCTGCAAAATCTTGGCTTAAAACTTATAATAATAAAATAACTAACTTTACGATATACAAGTCCAGTAATTGCGGAACGAAATCGAAGTCCAATAAGAAATTGACAATGAAAATAAGCTCGTAAAAGTATTATTTGACAAAAAACTGTTGTACTTAGAAGAATTGCATAGAAAATACCTAACCATTTTGGTCTAGTTGGATCCATAAAAAAGTTAAGAAGTAATCTTAAATGAAATTAAATAAATAAATAAACATAAAAAAAAAAAGAAAAACTCAATGATATTTACTTTAAAATCATAGGACCACTAAATTGTATAAGATCATGAATAAGTTTGATGAAACCACCAATAAAAAGTTTATCTTTGTATGTGTAAAACAAAGCATACCAGAAAATATGTGTTTTTTTATATTTAGACGACGAATTTTTCACATCAACAATTGGCTTTAAATAGATTTTATCGTAATAAGTTTATAAACGAATAAAATATAATTACTTACAACATTATTATTAAGCTAAAAAAAAATCAATAAATAAAAATCAAATGACAAAAAAAAAAAACACAACGACATTTACCAAATTTTCATGTTCATCTTCTAATTGATTTAAATCAGAATGTTTAATATTATTTGTAGATGTTTTGTCGTATGAATCACATGATGTCCAACTATTCATTCTGGATAAAACTTAGAACGAAAATAAATAAAAAAACTTATTTACCCTTTCATATAATTTCGTACTTGATGAACAACAGCAACAGTTCGTTCAGATATTGGTAATTCCCAACAATCTTTTTCTGTAAGTGGTTTTTTATAGCCTCGATGAATTAATGGTGTTGCCCATGAATAAAAAATTCGAGATGGAAAACTTTCATGAAATTCAGGAACAATAGGCTATTACATAGATTTCTTTTTATAAGATTTTATTCAATAAATTTTGAAACATACTCGTTCATTAAGTGTTGTTTCAGGAACAATATATTTTTCAGCAAAACAATTTGTAATAAATAAACCAAATGCAAAAAAAAATTGAAACCAAACAATAATAAATTCTATCCATAATGATATTGATTTGATCTAGATAAATAAATTATCATTAATATGAAAATATTCATAGAAAATTTGTTTTGTTACTTGTTGATGAAATTTAACAGAATAATCAATTACATCAGGTACAATTGCTAAAGAAACTAATAACCAAAAGATAAATAGTAAACCAGAAGAAAAAACACTCTTCAATCGATCATAATTTATTAGCCATAGAATAAAACTTGTTGTTATTATATACAAAATTGGAGTCAATAATTCAGCTAGACCTTTTTCTTCTTTTAATAGAACAACATAATGAATAATACGAATAATTTGTACCAAAATAAATAGACAAACGAATATCTATAATAATCATAATGACTAATATTTAATTAACATAGAATATCAACATTTAGATCATCGATAAAACTTTTAAAAATATCTAATAGTTTTATCGATGATCTAAATAGTTCAATGTATTTACCATTTTGATGATAAATAACGTAGAAACTACAAGTGCTTGTAATTTTATTGATCGTTTGTGTAACATATAAAGCCACAATGGTAAAATTAACCAAAAAATACTCATAGGCACCCATTGTAAAATTGTATTTCGAAAACATTCAGTTAAATATGGATATGATGAATTAATCACATTTTTATCCTAAATAATATCTTAAATAAGACGAAATAGATCATAGGTATATACACACCCAGAATGGAGTTGTACACAAATGAATCATATCTGAAATATAAATATAAGTGCAAAAAAACAAATGATCATTTTCTTTCAATTAGATCTTTTACAAAAATCGAAATGATGTTGATTAAAATAAACATATTTACTTCATTTTAGTTAAAATTATTTTTTTGATTAAATATTCGAACTAAAATCGAAATGTTTCTATTTTCATTATCTTTGAAAAATCACAACCTATTCACTGTAGAACTGACGAAGTTCTGCAAAAAAAAATTCACAAGATTTTTGACACAAACTTAATAATTAGATTTAATATTGAATTGGTGTTAGTCATCATACGAAAACGAATAAGGTACCTGCGTTTATCAATCAATAAGAGAAAATAAAATTTTTCGTTCTTGTACAATTGATTATTCTATAATTGGTTCAAATCATTCTTAAACATTCTTTCGAGCAAAAAACCATGATTTGAGATACACAAAAGTAATACACATATTTAATCTTGTTATTTGCCAATTGAATAGCTACAGCCATAAAGAGAGAGAGAGAGAAAAAGTGAAAATAATCATATATTTTACAGCGAAGGTTAATAGATGCTTATCTATAATATATACTTGCACGTGTGTGTGGGTGAGTAATCAAGACTAAAAGTAGATACACTTTATATTTTACGAACACATAAAACATATGGAGCCTATTCATATCGAATAATCCATTGCACTGATGTAAACATGTTTAACTGACATAATACCTTTTGACTGTTCTTCGCTCTTTTTTTTTTCAATTCGAATACCATTTTCTCTCTAAGAGAAAAAAGTGAATAATTGAGAGAAACCAAAAAAAAAAGAGTATTTTGAAATATATATATATACACTAACTTTCAAACGAGGTGTGGCACATGTACTTGTAGAAATCCTCTTCACCGACAAAATCACAAAAGAAAAAACATATCAATGAGCCAACGTATAGAGAAAAAATTCATAAAAAAAATAATGATAACAAAAGATGTGATGAGACGTAATAGAGCGAATCTATTAATAAAACTATGGATGATACTTTTCGTATGTTGCATCCCATGTCACAAAAACCGAATCACTTTTAGCGGTAAACTGCGGTTCATCAGTAATTTTTTCAGTAAACTATAGAAAACGAATGGCTGAAGAACGAAAAAAAATCATATATATATGCATGTCTGTCGTATAACTTATTTCGCTTGCTTGTTTAGAGAAAAGAATTAATATAACAACAACGAAATTCAGTTGAGAATTAATATTTTTTTTATATTTATGTGTTAAGACTTATTATTTTATGTTCATTTTTTTTATGTGTTTTATGCGTTGGCTTGTATTTTTATTTTTGGTTAAAATAAAAATTAGATTAATTAAAAAATAACTGTTAAATATAAGTACAAACATTAACAAGACAAAGAATCAAACGGTGCTGGTTAACTACGCAGAAGAATTGGTTAACTACGATTTACCTTAAAAAGCCAGTGGTTTTTCTCCGATTTTCATTACATGGGATTTAGGTTTTAATGGTTAACTGATTAATTAGATTGAGTTGTGCATTTTTGTGTTGAATGATTTTGATGTTTTCTTAGTCTAGAAGGAAAAAATGCGACTTCAATACTTCGAAGTATGGGCAAGATGGAAAAGCGAAAATTCTCTACTTCAGTACGCTTCCAAAGTATGTCAAAGCTATTCCCGTGGTATAAACACTTACTTAAAAGTGATTCAGGAACAAAGAAATTTTGATTATATCGATTAAGAGACAAAAATACAATCAAGAAAATGCTTGGTTCTAGAAGATTCTTGAATATTGACTTACTCCGAAGCACTTTTGAATTTCACTAAGTTGCTTTTTCTGAAAAAAAGACACATAAAAAAATAATTTTTTCATAGATTAGGATGAAACTACTAAAATAAATTATCTTTATTTTTGTTAGGTAAAACCAAAAAAAAATATGTAGTTGATTTGTAACACTCTTATCACCTCTGTGTGAATGTACTCCATTCAAGATACCTGTGTATTGGGACAGCTATCAACAGAGTACTTTTTCAGGTACCCTGTTACCTGTAGGTCACAAAAACTTGGTTTGATACCCTACTAAGAAGTAGTTGATTGTATGTTATCCATCATGCTGATTCTGAATATCACTATGAGAAATTCTCTTAGATCTTTATATCCTAGTTTTCTAGACTAACTAACTGTTCGCCTAAAATGATTATTACTCTGTCTAGACTATTCAACCTATCAAATTGCCTAGAAAAAACTAGGTTTTTCTATTTCAAATCTTTTTTTTTTTGCAGAAAACACAGCCATTTTAGTTCATATAGAAAATACATATCAACATTTCAAGATGATATTATTTTACTTAAAACTTATTTTTTCAAAACAGAAATATTATTGATTTATAGAGTAGAAAACCAGTGTCTGAAGGTCTAAGGGAATCTTTGATGATCATATTCAAAATCAGCATGGTTGATAACTTACAATCCACTAGTTTTTAGTGATAAATTGATTGAACGATTGAAAATATATCTTCGTTAGCTTAGAAAATGGGTAGAATAGTAGAATTTTGATATTATAACAAAAACAATAGACCATCTGTAGCTAAGCATTCCAAATTCTTAAACTCAATAGCAACAAAATCGAAGAATTTGTTTCAATAACGAACAATCCGTAGATAAAAAAAGATTTTGATGAGAATTATTATGTCGACAAATTCTTCTCAACATATATCGATATAATTATGGTGTTTTGAAAAGAATGTGAGCATGATAATTCATCTCAATCAAACTTATAATCTGATTAAAAAATATCAAAAATTTTGAAAGAATACATTCATCAACATTATTTTTTTTTTTGTTTTATTCTTTTTAAAATCTTGGGATAGCAACTACATGAAGCACGTATCGTCTCCACTGTTAATAACTAGCAGTGGAGCCAGAACATTAGCGTCCCATAATAGCTGCACTCTTCTCAGAACAAGACAAGAACTTGGGGTTTAGGTCCACCGTTAGTTAGTCTACTGATCATTTGTATCCTGGATAATGTAGCACACGTAGGAATGGCTCCACTTGCCACTGTCCAACGCAAACAAGAAGGGCGCTAATGTTCTGATTACGCCGTTACTAACAACTTTTAGCCATCGAAATGATGAAAATAAATTTAATCTTCATAACACTAGAATAAACTTTTATTTTGTACTTTAAGAAATAAATGATTAAGAATCACAACAAAGAAAAAAATTTTTTCATCACACTGTGCAATCAAATAAATTGGATAACTGTTAATCGGCTGTAGGCATTGTGAGCAATGCTTGAGTTTCATCTCTTGTTGTCAGAACAAAATTATATCTAATCAACCAATCTTGTTCATTAACATCATATTTCTTTGCTAGTGATGCATCTTCTACTTTTCCAACATCTACAATAAGACTTTTTTTAACACCAAAAACAGCATCATTTGATTCATATGGATCACCACGGATATATAATGCTGTAACTAAATCATCATATGTACTGTTAGGAGCATAAATACGAAAATGTATATGTGCTGGTCGACGAGCAGGTCGGTGAAGTGTTTCTAGAAGTTTCCCAGCAGGACCATCACTAGATATAGGATATGATACTGGTTTTACACATTTAAAAAAGAATTCTCCATTTTTATTCGACGTAAGTCGACCACGCATATCTGGTCTATCTCGTTCATCATATTGATTATCATACCGACCATTACTATCCGTTTCCCAAACATCAATCTTAGCTCCTTCAATTGGATTACCCTTGGTATCTTTAATTGTAGCAAGTACAAGACATATTTCTCCTTTACCTGGTGATGCAATACTATCACCATTAGCTACATCTTGTGCATCATCAGTATAAAATGGTCCTAAAACAGTAGATTCTGTAGCATTTGTTGGTTTAGGATTGTTTAATGCATCAACAAGAACACTGACACCTAATATATCACTTAATAAAACAAATTCTTGTCGAACATTAGTACACATATGTCCACATTCAGCTAAAAATTTCATTGTCTCGTTGAATTCTTCAATTGTGGGTCGAGTTTCACGTACATAATTATGAAGATAATCAACTAATTTTTCCATTAAGAATTTTAATCGAGTATTGGGTGTTTGACTATTGACCAATTTTACATTTTTTGTTATATTGTCTATTGTTAAATCGAGAAGTTGTAGAGTTGTATTAGTAGAAGTTGTGCTATCGTTCGACATTCTTCTAAATAATGAATTTATGTTATATGACTTTATCTGTTGTTAATGTATAGATAAGAAATGAGGATCCTATTAATGTTCTACCTTATCAATGTTGACAAAGCACAGAACACGAATACTGTGTTGCATGTAAAAAAAGAACACCTATTTTTCGAAGTGATTCGTGTATTATTCACCATTTAACGTACATCAAATAAACAGCAATTCTTATCCAAAGTTTCATTTTGATATTATTTGTCCAAATTAGAATATTGTTCTTCAAGAAAACATAATTGTCAACCCATTTCAAAAAAAAATAGCGTGTAGACATATCACACATTATGCATATCCGATCCTTTGAATATTATAACTTGAGAAATGTTAAGTAATCATTTTGTAAAGATCGTCTTGTATTTCTTTTGTTTCTCTACGTAGGAGTATGAGAATCTATGACTAATCTGAACAATAAAAATTCAACTTTTTCAGAAGATTATAAAACGTATACAAGATGTTCTGAGCCTCAAAGAAAGATCGAAAGTTTTCAGAGAATATATTTGCTCATCTTTCACTCACGTGAAAATAAAATTTAAAAGAGTCAAAAACTATGAGTTAGAATCAAAATTTGATACTCTTTCTGAATATGAACTCTGAAACTATTTGTTAGGTTTTGTTCGACAGTAGTAAGGGAATTTTTGAAAGATTTGAAAAAAAATTTAGACAGAACATTTTTGCGTACATTTTCATATTTTTTACTATTGGGATGCCAAATCTAAACCTGTAACCTTTATTAATATATCAGCTTGTAGGGCGAAATTTACTGTACAAAATGTACTACTCCCGATTGTTTCTGTCTTCTGATAAGGCGACAAGATTTTTGTTTTCTTATCACCTTCACTTTTGAAAAATCGACATTTTGATCAAGTCGTGTTTTACGTAGAAAGTAGTGTCTGACAAGATGCTTATTATTTCACTTGTATAAAAGCTACAGTTTAGGTTTTTTGGGAAATATGAGAATATTTGGGCGCAGTATTAGATAGAGCACATTTTAAAATTTTTTATTTTATGTGCACAACATTTTAAGACTAAAACTAATATTGATGAATGAGAATTCAAGATTGTTAGAAATAAATCTCATCTTTTCCACTGTTTCAAAGATCATAAAGACTCAGCTTTCATAAGTATAGCTAATTTTGTAACTAAAGTGATCATATTTCCAAATCGTTGAAATTATAATTTATGTGCAATGTACTCATTAACTAATGGTTAAGGTATGCAGTTACCATAGCACTTGATATTGAAACGCAAACCATCTATGCGTGATCCAGTGGACATTTGTAGAGTACAGTGTCTACTGATAAGCCTCTACATACAGTTGTAACTGTTTGAGATCTAAATAAAAATTATTTTGTCAAATTTTATCTTTATGAATTTGTTCGATGATCTTATAGAGATAAATACAATCAAAATAAGCATATTGTTAGTCGGAAACACAAAATATTTCATCAAAGTTTACATATCAAAAAGAAGTTTATTAGAACATAATGTTAAAAGTAAATACAAAACACCAACAAGATACATGTAAATACTTGAATAGCAATAAAGAAATCATATGATTCTTTTTTTGTTTCTGATCAAAAGTGAAAGATGTTGGGGTTTGAGATATTGAATGAATGTAATTTCTTTTCTCGTGTGTTGTACAGTTAAATTCTTGAATTTTACAAGTCTTTTTCTAATCTTCTTTTTTTCTCCTTTTTGTCATGTTTCTTGTCTTGCGACAAAACATTCTATTGACAAAAAGTGTTTTTGATTGAATGTCAATGTACCATTAGACTGATGATCCCTATAAATCTAGTACTGTAGGTCAATCATACATATGTTTTTCCAATCGTTTGGAAGGTTATCTTTTTTCTGTCCGTATTTTTCTCCAGAAGTAGCACAATCATTTGTTTATTTCTAGAAGAGAATTACAGAAAAAAACAGGATAATCTTCCAAATAATCGGAAAAAAATATTATTGACCTACAGTATACAATTTATAGTAATTATACGACTAATTGGACTTCATATTAAGTATGTCCACATGTTTTCTATAGATCTCGCTAGAAATTCATTTATGTTCTGATATAACTTATTGGAAATATAGGAGATAAAATTTTCGTCTATCTTATAACAAATACAATTTTCTTTTTCTTTCATTGCTTTGAAGATATGTTCTTATTTGGGTACTCTACAAAAAACAACCATAAATGTAGCATTGTCAATAAGAGAACAGAATGATCAAATAACATGCCTACTGCTTGGAGAGTTTTTTTTGTCATGGTACCATTATTTTGGGACAATAGACATTCTGCGAGAGAAAAGAAAAAACAATATAAAACCTTGCTGTTCTTCAATTACATTAAGTAGTTGTATGCTGTTACTAGCAGAGGTTGTTATAGAGCGCTAGTTTTCAAAGATATTGCTTGTTGTTTTTCATCCATCTTATATTATTCAACAAAACGGTTAGTGTATTTGTTTTTTCAATACCATCGCACATCTTTTACTTGGTGATTTATGACTCTGACTGAAATTATGCTGAGTGTGACGAGTTTCTTCTTTGTAGATAGTGAAAACTATAAGTGAGGTATTATGAAATTACGGAATTGTCGGTACACACTGGATAGGTTCTTATTAAGACATTTCTACTTATTTTTAACATTGATACATTGTCGAAAAATGCAATCGACTGAATATAGATTACATTTATTTCTTTTTAGATAATTCAAAATTTCAAAAAAAAGTCAATTGCATTATTTTGAACTTCTTATTTTTTTTATCTAAACATAATGTGATATTGAGAGATAGACTATTGACAAATTGCAATTGAATTTTTAGAATAGACTCTTTTAAATAAACTATAACTAATTCAGAAAATCAATAAACTTTTAACTTTCGATAGTTGCCATCAATTAATGTAACCAAAGGATATGATCTATCTGAATGTATTGATCCAAATTTAGTATAAATCCTTGTCAAATAATTAATTTGAAAGTAGTCGAATATTTCTTTTCGCTTCACTTTTATCCTAATACAGCAAAATATTTCATGAAACTTCTTCTATTGTACAGAGGCCTGTATTCTATTTGAAGTAGATACAAATGGAATGATGAAGTAGCGCAGTGAACATCTATACTGAAGATAGTAATAATGCTGTTCATCCAGTTTGTAATTATTAATTATAATAAAATACATACTGTATCGGTAACGAAATAGACCATCATCTATCTTTCTCTCATTTTCGTTACAGTAACGTAATTGTAACGTTGTACTATTTCAAATATATCAAAAAGATATTTATATTGTAGTATCAACATTTTGGTCATGTAGATTTCTCACTATACTGAACATTATTTTCTATAGAAATCTATATCGTTTTGATTTTGCAACAACTTTCACATTTCTTGTCCTTTTATACAGTGTGTTATACAATAGAAACATTATTCAACGTCGAAAGAAATACGAAATATATTTCGCAAGTTTTATGTCCATCTGTGGAAAAATATTGCTACAGTATGCTAGAATCAGTTAATTTTTCTAGTTTTTCATATTAATGACTATCAACCAGCATAGAGTAATAATATAAAACTTTTGAGATGTTTAAAATTAAAATGGTGATAGAATCGAAGTGCAATAGTAGAGGTTTCATGCATATCACTGCTAATTAAAAATTTTTTTTCTATATTGTTAGAAACACAATTAGAACAAATCAACTATGGTGCCACCAATCTTTGAACTAGTCGTTTGTATAACATCTTCAGCACTTTTCGATTGTACAGAGCTACGTGAAATTTGGAAACGTGATGGATTTGAAATATTTAAGGAGCATCAACGTGCTAACCTTATGGTACCTCTTCAACCTGGTGCCGGTTATTCTCTCGTTCGATCATTGTTAGCATTAAATGAAGTTGCTAAAAATCAACTGGTCGAAGTCGTACTCATTTCTCGAAAAGATAGTGATTCTGGAGAACGAATACGACAATCTATCTATTATTACAAACTACCTATTACACGTATGTCATTTACTGGTGGTACAGATGTCACAAAGTACTTGTCCGCTTGGAAATGTGATCTTTTTCTTACTGCCGATGAAGATCAAGTACGTACAGTATTGTCTGGTACTAGTTCTGAAGCATTTACAGGCATTGCAGCAGCATTAGTATGCAATATAGTGGATACAACATCAACTATCCCTTCTAAACTAATACTAGTACCTGAATCTTCTCACGGTCAACAATCTAATTCAAATATTAACGCGACAATATTGCCGTCTGAAATAAATACATCAACTAACTCTGATTTAGCTGCTCCATTGGCTTCTTTATCATGGCCAGAAGGTCAAGTTCGTATTGCTTTCGATGGAGATGGTGTACTTTTTTCAGATCAAGCAGAACGTATCTTCAAAACCGAAGGACTTGAAGGATTTTTCGAGTTCGAACGTAAACATGACCGTATTGCTTTACCAAAAGGTCCTATGCAAGTATTTGCTCTTAAATTACAAAAACTTCGTCAATCACTTGGAGACAATCATAAATGGAGAATACGTACGTTTTTAGTTACTGCTCGCAATGATGTCGGTAACATACGAGTATTTCATACTCTTAAAGAATGGGGTCTTGAAATCGATGAAACACATTTCTTAGGTGGTTTAGATAAAACACCATTCTTACAATCAATTAATCCAGCAATTTTCTTTGATGATTCAAGAGAAAATATTGATCGAGCTAAAACTTATGTTCCATCAGCACAAGTTATCTATGGTATCAATAATCTTGATCCTGATATTCTAATAAAATCAACATCTATCGAAAGCAGAAACATACAAAATGATCATTCAACGTAAAGAATATTGGTTAATGATGCACTCAAGTTTATAATTTTATTTTATCTGTTTTTGATTAATTTTGTTTTTCTTTTCAATCTTTTATTATAATAACATTATATTTTTTTTCAGATTTAATAGAGACAAGAAAATGATTAGAAAAA